CATGCGGAAGTGGCTTTAGCTTCTCAGTGCAGTGCTTTAACCTGCTGCGCCACCAGGGAGGGCCAAGAATTAAGTTTTTATAAAATTCAGAAAATTAAGAGTAAGCTTTTACTGCCTCAAGAAGAAAACATTTTTCGAAAATATTTTGATAGCAGGAAGCAAAAACAAAAAGCAAAATGCAATTTTGTACAAAATAATTTATTACTGCATTATTCAGGGTGGCATTATTTTACAGTTTTTCCCCCAAGTCTGAATCTAACAGCTTAGAGTGAACTCATTTTAATTAGAACTGTTTGTCTAAATAAAACCTCCCTTCTTACATTTGTTTGCTTTAAAGGGAAGTATTAATATTATAGATATTTACAGTTCTGGAACAAAATATTGAAATATTGCATTTATTACAGCCTTCTGTACATGAGACAAAAAGCTGTTCAAGAATGCTATGTATTAAACTAATGACAGTTTAAATTCTCATTTTACAGACATAAGAATGTATTTAGACAATGTATGGCTGTTAAGAGTAAGGATATTTCATTATAATTTATAATACTCTCTATCATCCGCCCTTGAAGCACACCACTTAGATATAAATGTTTATTAACACATAAAACAACTTAGTCAGGAAAGCATAATTCTTGTCTGTGGGTCTTTAAAATTGGCCTATCACATGCAACAAATTACTAGTGGATTTCCATTACCAAGGCAAACCAATCTCCACATCTCAATCACCTACATAAACCTGGAGTATCCTCATTCAACTAAAAAGTATCATTTTCATGAATATTGAAATGGTAATCATGAAAAGAATGAGGAAAAAGGGCAAGTTAAATTTTTAACTGTATCTAATGTCTGTCAAGAAGAGTTCCATATTGTTAATACACAATTAACACTTTAAGACTGAGGTGCTTTAGTTAAAAAATAAGCAAATAAACAATTAAGACAAACCAGAAGAGATCAAAACTTAGGTTTTGAAACCAGGATCTAAAGAATACAGTGGGGCTATACACAACTTAGGTTAATAAGAAATTATCTTATGAGTGATATAGAAATGACAGCACCTATCACAATGACAATGATTTGAGAATTTAAGAAACTGTACAAGTATAAACAGGTAATTTTAACAAATATTTATGCAAATTGGCAGTCGATAAATAAAATAAGCTCGTAGAATACTCCATTTAGAAATTCCAATTCTCTCATTTCATGTCTATATTAAGACCCTGGAAAAGAAACTCTCATCTGAATTTATTTGGGTGTGTAGGAGTCAATTTTTAATGAGATTTCAAATTTCATTTGCCAAGACATCATAGTTAGCTGTATGGTTTAGTGCAGCACTATGGCCATCAATTTCATTCACAGCAGGCAGGAAAGCTGACGTAAAAGGAAGCAAGTTATGACAGGCCGTTCTGTAGTCTTCATATTGGGAATTACAATTCCCAAAGCTGCCATCAAGCAGTGCCTCAGAAACCTTTATTAAAGTCTATTGAAGCAAAGAGAATAAAAATTATTTTTTAAACTTTCATTAATTTAATTACAAGAGGTAATATGTTTATTAACCAACAGGAAGCTGATTAGGCCTCAATTTAAAATTTTTACTTAAAAATCTAGTAAGGAATCACCTCAGAAAAGGAAGATTTTAATTATAAAAATCAACTGCAAACTCTTTAATAAAGCAGTAAATTTCTGTTTATTTAAAAAGGAGATCACTCCTTTTTTCTTTTTGGACAAATTTTTATTGTAAAACCACTGGTTTATATAACATTTTGTAGATTTCACGTATCCAGCATAATAATTTAACATCTGTATATTCTACAGCATGAGTTACTACCAAAAGTTTAGTTTTCATTTGTCACCATACAGTTGAGCCCCTTCATTCATTACCCCCAAACACCCCTAATATCCTTTTTCTCCACTGGTAACCTCCAACCTGTTCTATTTATCTTAAGAGTTTGTGTTTGTTTTGTTTATTTGCTTTGTTACTTATCTTCCATATGAGTTCAATGTTATGTGTGTCTCTCTAATTCTCTCAAGGTACAATGTTGTTGCTAATAATGAGATGTCACCTATTATATTTTAAAGCTTGGTATTTTCCATTATGTATTTATATATTTTCTTTATCCATGATGTACACTTAGGTTGCTTCCATATCTCGGGTAGTATAAACAATGCTGCAATAACCATCAGGTACATGTATCTCTTAATATACTTCAGATACAATGAGTGGAATATTTGGATCATAAGAAGTAAAATTCTAATATAGTAGACCCCAATATTGTAAGACTAATCCGTTATGCAGATGTGACCCTATGGTGAAAATATAATATGAACCCAGTAACACACTGATAGTGTAATTAATTTTTAATTTGAAAATTCTAATACATTACTAAGTTTATGTAAGGCTGATTTACATAAAAAACAAAAACACTAAATTTCATTTTTATTGACATTAAAAAGATGAAATTAAAAGTAAGTGAAGAAACAAAATGGAAAAGGTTTTTCACATTTATTTAGAGTTGGCTAATGGAGTGTGAAAAACCAAATTCTCACACCAATTCAGTAACTTTGAAAACATTGACAGTTTTTATTTAATTAATTTATTTATTTTAATAATTTAAATAATTTAAATTTAATTGTAAGTTTCCTTGCAACAAGCTACTTAGGAACCGTGGTTACAGTTCAATATTTTTATGCAGTTCAACAACCACTTGTATGAAATATACAGACTAAAAAAATAAGACATTTCCATTCTTTACTAAAAAAACAAAAAACAAAAACCACAGATCCATGTGACAAAAGGTAATTACACCAATTAATGTGCCATGATTCATCACAAACTCAATTATTCAAATGCCTCCACTCAGAAGATCTAATTGGTGACAATCTTTATGTGACTATTAAATTGTAATAAGGAAGAACTCATCATAAAGTGACTGTATAATGGACAGGTCCTATAAAGGAGGGGGCTACTCTACTTAAAAAAGTGAACCTCTAGTTGCTCAAAATGTAACATTAAACCTACCATATGATCTATCCACTAAATTTGTAGGTTTCTATCTGAAGAATAAATAAATACTAATTCAGAAAGATATATGCACCTCTATGTTCACTGAGGCATTATTTACAACAGTCACATTAAGGAAACAACAGAAGTGGTATGAATACACACATAAAGGATACTAAAAAAGATCAAATCAGTTACTAAAAAAGATCAAATCTTGCCATTAGCGACATGGATGGAACTGAAAGGGTTTATGCTGAGCAAAGTAAGTCAAAAGGAGAAAGACAAAATACCAGAATACTTCAATCTTATATGGAATATTAAGAGCAAAGAACAGACAAAACTAATACAAAGCAAACCTTGGATTCTGATTTCAAAAATAGTTTTAACAGAGGGAAGGATTGTGTGGAAGCAGATGGGAGACCAGGGAACTGTTGTGGAAGATTACTGGTACTTTGGTAATAGGTATGGTATAACATGTATTTGAAGATCTTATATTCCTAAAACATTGTGTTGTGAACCAATGTTATCTCAATTACCTTAATTAAAAGAAAAGTGAAACTCTTAAAACTGTGATCACTGATACAAATGTGTTTTATTACTAACAGCTTCTATTTACTGAGTGCTTAATCTGTGCCAAGCAGTTACTAAATACTTAAGTATATTTTAGTCAACCTTACATCAACTCTTGTGAGATACAGTATTTCTATCCTCCTCATATACAGAAAGAAAAAGAAGCCAAGAAGTCACATTTGTAACACAAATCAAGACTGGCTGAACTTAAGATTCTTAACTTGAAGGTCACTCAATAATTATAGTGTAAAGATATCTATTTTGCTAGATTACTCATATCTATAAATTTGAATAAATCAGATGTGAAAAATCTTACCTTTACATTTTTATCTTTAATAGTTTCATCTAATCTAGTAGCAATAGCAATTGCTTTCTCCTGTCTTGACTTATCCAGAAAATACATCATCTTAGCACCTGAAATAACCAAGACATTTCAAAGTGAATATTCTTATGTTACATCTGATCTGACTTATATGTACTACTCTGACCACTGACTTAATATATTGTCCCAGTGTTTAGTCAGCATTGAGCTATCAGTGACTCCTACCAGCAACCAGGTTTCAATCTTGATGAAGTCTTCCCAATTCCCATTAGTACCATCCCCGCTGATAGCCTGTGACCACAAGGCAGGTACTTAAAGTATTGCAAAGTGTTACAAATCAAGGTTTTTCTGTCACAGAGATGGTTAGTCGGTAAATATTTATACAAGATTACTGATTCAACAACTCCCCCCACCTCAGAAATCATGTGACTCAATATATAAATATGAGCTACCCTGTAGTATTCATCAGTATGTCATATTTGAAAGAGGAAAAAAAAGATATCATAAAAGAAAACACCAGCCCTCCCTGGTTGCCCAACGGGTTAAAGCACAGCACTGCAAGCTAGCTGCAGCTGCTTCAGCGCAAGTTCAATCCCCAGCCCCGGAAGTGATCCACACGATCCCTGACCCGCCCACTGATCCCCTTAGCAGTATATTTCATCAATCTGCCTATTCTGCTCCCCACTCTGTCCAGGTACAGCCCCTAGACCTCTGGCCTGTATCCCAATTCTGTATGCATAAATAAATCAATCTTAAAAAATAAAAAGAAAACACCTAAGGAAGAAAATTGTCAGGTGGAGGGGGGCGGGGGAAGAGTTGGGAAGACAGAAAAATATTTGTAAATTCACAATAGTTTTTAAAACTATTTCCTAATAAAACCAATTTATATTTCTCCTGTAAACTACATGGCTCATATTCTAAGCTCACTTTACTATGGGCTTTTTACTAATTTATAAGAGTTCTATGTGTAATAGTTTTTGTTATATATCCATGTATACTTCCCCCAATTGGCCTTTTGATTTTCTTTTTGGTGTTTTTATGTCATGAAAAATATCTTCCTTAGAATTTCATACAATATTTGGAAAGGCATTTCCCATAACTAATAATGTTTCCTTCCATTATCCTGTGTTCATGAAGAGAAATATCTACAGTTATTGTCAAGTTTTGTAATTTTTTTTCTAGTTTTCTTCCACAGATATTAGAACTGGAAATATTCCCTTTAAACAAGGTAGCTTAGTTTAAAAGATTTAATTAAATACATGTCTAAAGAGGACAATTATAGTACGTGCTGCATTTTTCCCCAATTCATTCTTTTGTCTAGTGCTGCAATGTATGCGATTATTTTATGAACTTGTATAAACTACCCAAAATCCTTCATGTAATATTACATGATTATAAATAAACCCTAAAGATACAACATATATAAAGCAATAAAAACACAGAAAATGTAAAGCACTCACAAACACAGAATCACCAATGCTTTGCTGTATACTTTAAGTCATTATTTCGTATTTTATGTAATTAGAGGACAGTCAAATTCTGTTTACTCATTAATTAATATTAATTCTATTACCCATTATCACAATCTTTTTTTAAAATACCACCTTCTATGACTTATTGGTATTCCATCCTAAAGCTCACTGATGTTTCCACCAGTCTTGAACATGAATGTATTATTTTTCATGATTTTCCCCATATTCAAACACAGAATTTCTTTTATTTAACCTTTGCATTCAAAGTTCTTTCTGTGCTTTGGATTATTTCTTTAAAATTACAGGGCCTCCCTTGCGGTGAGGGGGTTAAAGTCTATCAAGTTATGCCATCAAGTTATTGCTGTGAATGAGTTCAATCCCCAGCCAGAGAGCTGATCCACATGGTGCAGCAGACCTCTCCTGTCTTGCCTTCAGCAGTATACTTCAGAAAATCCACAATTCTACTCTCCATTCTGTCTCTGATGAATCCTTTCATCCCCCATTCCTCTGGCCTACAGTAGCCCATTTCTTGATGTATAAATAAAAACAAATCTTCAAAAAAAAATTTTACAGAAGTTACAATTAAATTTAAAGATACAAGAGGTAAAGCTCTCAATAAGAATGACTGCTTTCCTAAATGACAGAAACAACTTATACTTTTAAGTATCAAAATACAAGTATGTCTGTTTGGCTTATCTCACCATACTTTATTTCTTCTCCTTTTACCAAACAAAAAATACATTTGCTATTTCAAATATTAAAAATTTCAAAGATACCAATAAATGGTACTGTCATTTTTTTCTATGATAAAGAGGGTGACTATCTTCCAAAATGGTTTCCATCTTTTTTAGCATATTGTTTTTTCCATAAGCAGTTTAATCCTGGGTGCTAAATACCAACCTGAAAGTAAATGCTGAAGAGAGGTAGCATTATGTTTCAGAAAATCCTCATTAAAACTTTCCAAATCCTTGTTGACAAATATTTTTTGCATTTCTTGAAAAAGAACTTTGCTCACAATGTCTGGAAGATTACTATGATTAGACACTACAAAAGACAAAACATCAGGGCTTAGTTTTTGTCCTTTAAAACAACATCATTTAGAATAGATTGAAATTTATTATTAAGCTTGATATATTTCAGAGTAAAAATATTGCTGATAATTTGGAATACAAATATAATTCTAACCTAAAAATGCACAACTTTCTAGCATCTGTAGTATATTTCATTTATAGAAATAAATTTGTCAATTAAATATTTCACAATTTTGTATTTTTGTGCAAATTAATTTTTCAATTTAATGGAAGGCAGCTCAATTTTCATATTTTCTTCTACACATTACCTTTTTTCTACTTACCAGATTTAGAAAACCTAATTAAACATTCATGTAACCATGGATTATTACTATTGATGGCAAAAGCTCGTTTGACAGACTGCAGCATTAACAGAAACTTGCCTATGTCAGAAAGAAATATAAAAGCAACACCATCAGTATTTATGTATGTTATTTTCTCCCCTTTATTTTAGCCTCACCTAAAATTCATTAATAAAATGTTGTATTTCTGTAATATTCATAAGCAAAATTCAAAACTAGCTGGTTATCAATGACAATTAAGCTTGAGAAATCATGACATTACTTCATGCAAACAATTTGTTTAACTGTTCCAACTATTTTTAAAATGAGTTTGACTCAGTAAAGTTTTGAATAACGGGAAAAATTATCAAATTTTGTGGAAGGTTAAAAGGAATTCTAGCAACAAAAATATATCTAAACAAAGATAACATGTAAGACAATCAAATACACTAATATATCAAAGGACTAAAAACTAAACTCAAACTATTACCTTTTCTAAAATATATTTCAAATGCTAATAGATGAGTGTCAATGTTATCAGCAACAAGGTTCTTAAGAGGAATAAGGAACTTGATAGCTTCTTCTAGTGGATTTTCTATCTATTTTAAAACAAAAAGCAAAATTATTATATTAAAAAAAACACAAGTCAAATTCCCCTAAAATTTTATAGTAAAATACCTTTAGTAATTTAGACAGTTCTCTTTTATACAGCCAAATATATATAAGAAACTATTCTACAACTATCATCTGCAAACAAATTTAAAGGAAATAATAATTTCCAAAATGGAAATAACTCCATTGTTTTCCTGATTACAAAATCAACAATATTATTTTAAAAATACAGTCAACTGTTCTAGAAATTTCAGGATATGGTACATCAAGTATTGATAGCCTTTATACCACAAACATCTAAAGTAAGGAAACAAGTATAAATGTACCACAAAACTGAAAAACACAAATGACAAATTTAAAATAACTATACTACATTTAGTGAATTAACCAAAAATAGTTCCCTAATTCTGGTTCCCAAATAATGATAGACACTTTTAAAAAATACTGGAGAGGAGGGGCTCTTCTCTCTTTATAGCTAAAAACACATCTAGCTAGATATATAAAATGCTTTAATTAAAAACTGCACTGCTGTTGTAACAAATTACCAGAAATTTAGTGTCCAAATAAGGCAAAATTTTCCCTAGGTTGACAATATAAGTGTCTCACTGGGCTTAAATTGAAGGTGTCAGAGGTCTGTATTCTCTATGGGAGCATGTTTCATGCCTTTTTCAGCTTCTCAAGGATGCCTACAAAATTTTTACCTCTTGTTTTTCTCCCTATTCAAGACAAGAATCAGAGGGTTGAGTCCTTGTTATACCACTCTTATTTCCTCTCCTACGTCACTCCTCCACTATAGTAAGCCTGTGATTATATAAGTGCACCTAAATAATTCAGATTAACCTACCCTACTTTAAAAGTCAGTTAATCATCTACCTAAATTCCATCTGCTATCTTAACTCCCCTTTGCAATGCAACATAATTACAGGCTCCAGAATTAACCTGTGGACATCCTTGGCGGGCAATTATTCTGCCTATTACAACTACAAATTCCATCTATCATTCAAATTAGCCAAAATGTACATATTATCACTCAAAAGTAACTGACTTACAATGACCTTGAAATGACAAAAGTCCAATTTACAAAGTTGAACAAATCACATTTATGTTTAGAAGGACAAAAATATAAATTTTATCAAATAAAATAAATTTCTCTCACCCTTTCCAATTTTTCAGGGATAAGTTCTTCCTTAAGACTATTGGCTTCTTCTTCTTCATCATCTCTTTTTTTCTTTTGATTTTTTTGTTGACGCTCCCTTTCTGCATGCTTTCTCTCTTCTTCTAATTTAGCTTTTTTCTGAGCTCTTCTCTGCTTGCTGAGCATTTTCTTCAATTCTTTAGCTGACAAGTTTTCTATTATGAATGAAGTAATGAGTCAGTTTCCATTTTGTTACATTCTTCTGTATCCATAATATTAAAATAGCTTCTTGTGGAGAAAGAGGAAGAGGAAACTATGCAAAAACTTTAAAAAGTGTATTTCTAATGGAATCTCTCAATATCTGGAACACAAAAGTTCTGATTCCTAGACACATAAACCACTTTATCTCTCAGTCTCAAGTCCCAAACTATATAAAATGGGGTTAATACAAACTGTTTTCTTAGTCTATTATAATGCATATGAACACATTATGTGATCTCTAAAACTATATAAATATTAAGAATGAAAGATCAGAAATATGCTAATTCTCAAATATTCCCAGAAATTAACATTTTTGTGAACAAAAAGCTGTATAGATTCTCACTGGCATTATTATTTTCAATAAAGTAGGTATTTGAAATGGTAAAAGTATATATTTTCCCTAAGGGGTTCAAAACTATTTGTAGTTACTATTTTAAATAAAAAAGAAACTAGCCTACACACATTCCTATTGTTCCTGAATATAACTTACTAAGGGAAAAAATGCAAATCATCCTATGCATTTTAAAACATCAGCTACAAAAAAAAGTCCTAAATTTTTTCAAAATTTTCCTTTTTTGGCATATGTAATTTAATGTTCTCACCACATCCATTCAACAATATACTTTTCTTTGTACTGTTTATTAATGGCATCCTGAAATTTAGTGGTCTCTTCAAATCTTTTTTTTATGTTTATTTTTACATCATTTTGTACATTTTCCCCCCCATCTCAATTGTAATCCCCGCGAGTTTTCAAATCTTTTAATGAGTTCTTTTCAGTTACCTGAATTTATTTCTTGTTGTTTGCTTTCATTGGCTAAGGGACTGTCATACAATTTCAAGTATATTTCAATTGCTGATCTAGCAGCCTTGAAATAGAAGGTATGTCTTCTGAGTACATCTTCTAATCTCAAAAGATCAACATAGGCACGAAGGGTCATCTTTCTCATGCAGTATGTATGGAAGTCAAATTGATCATCGGTTATCTCAAAAAAATGCTTAAAAACAAAACCACAAGGCATCTCTTACATTTATGTCAACAGTGTCTACTTTTGAAAAAAAAAAATTATAAAAAGCCCAAAAAAGATTTTAAACAACCACAATTTCACTTAGTTGCCCTGTCCAGTATTCAACACTACACAAGATACCAAGTTCTTCTTTACATTCATCTTAAATATCTTTATACAATTCATGACCATTCCCTATAAGTGTTTTGTAATGATCCTCAAACTTTATGTAATATGTCAGATAATCAGGTTATTCTTTAAACCTAGAAATTAGTTGGTTTTAATGGAAAATTTCTTAGTAGTTCTACCCAAATCAGCATGAATGGGTTTAGATTCCCCTCAAATTAGCCAAAGCTATGAATGAAGTTTTGTATAAAATGTTCAAAAATTAGATTGCTATATTCAACAAGTTATTAGTAAGTTCTCAAGGCCAAATCCTGTCAACCCCATTCCCACTGCCTGGCACAGGGCCTACCAGAACAGATGTGCAATAAGCACACATTTGTCAGTTCAGCAGATAAAAGCACTTATTAGGTGTGTTGACTTCCTCATTTCAAGTCTCAATTACTTAATCTAAATTAAGTAATAAAGAAAACTACCGCCAATTTCTTAAGGTTATTAAAGAGGTCAAATGGCTTAATGTTCACCTTAGTAGTAAAATGCTAATACAAATTTAGAACATTACGGCTTCCCACTACATTCCCATTAATCTACCTACATTCTATTTTAGCAGAGGTTCCTTATCAGGAATCTATGTATAAATAAATGTAACAGCATTTTCCTAAGGAGAAAAGCTCAAAGCTTTTATCCAATTCTAAAAGTTTACATCTACCTACCCCTCCTGTAAAAAGGCTAAGAACTAATAATCCCTTATGTGAAAACATTTACCCCCCCAGTTTGTATTTTTATTGTCTCCCCTATGTGCATTTCTGCCTCGTCTTTCTTTTCCCTGCCTCACTTTTTCTAAAAACATATAGAAAAATGAATGAATCAATGTATTAAACAAGTTCTTCTACTACTACATCCTCCTTGTAATGGGGTCTGGTACTATGCAGAAGACACATTAATAATTTTCTTTATTATCTAATAAATTAAATAGTCTTGTAATTAGAAACACTATACACAGAATTACATTAAGTACCTGTGACTTTAAGAGAGTTCTAATAGGACACAATGTAGAAATTAAACACACACACACACACACACAGAAAAAAAAAGAACATTTCACATTAGTTTGTATTTGTTAATTCAGCTGTTTCAGTGTTACGTTTGAAAATTCCCGTAATAAAACAAGTAAACTCAAAAATAACAACATGAACGTAGTTTTATTTAATCAGAGGATTACATATTTCATTAAATTGTGGTTTTCATTCATGTAAATCAAGTTACAACTAGCACTGTAAGAACATCCTAAAATCCAGTACGACTTAGCAGAAAGGGCAGTGCCAAAAATCATTAACATATAATGGGTTAAAGCATCTAGGAGGTTATAGGACTTTATTTAGGCTGAGAAATATTTATGTGAAAAGGCAGACAAACATTTCAAGAGATGCTCCTAGCATTATTAGTAGACAAAGATTTTAAGTCAAGAAAGTCATATGGAACCACAAACATTTAAGCCAGCCGCCTCTTTATCAGTAACAGCCTATAGGCTGCCTCTCTCCAGTTAACGTCTTCCATAAATAGGGTAACCAACTTATCCTACGTTGCTTGAGGCCTTCACAGTTTTTCCATCGACAGTCCAGTCAGCAAAGTCTCAAGAACCTATATGGCCTCAGGCAAACCTGGATGTTGATCACTCTATAATAAGCTAATTAATGTAATGTTGGTCATTCTATAATATGCTAATTAATCATGGTAGAGAATATGGCTAGATTAAATGGGGGAGGTTAAAATACTACAAAATATCTTCACTTTTGAAAGGAATGGTACACTGCAGTATCACATTTTTACACAATTAAATAAACTTAATTTTCTATTTTTTTAAAACTTTTTCAGAGTAATTATAGATATAGAGAAAGTTGTAAAGGTTGTACAGAGAGGGTCAACACTTCCCCTCAGTTTCCCCCAAAGGTTACATCTCACATAACTACAATACAATATCAAAACCAAAGAAAAAGATGTTACACAGTTCTATATTATTTTATTATATGTAGATTTGTGAAACCACAAATACTCAAGATACAGGATTATTCCATCATCACAAACATCTCCTCCATACTATCTTAGGGTGCTTCTGTAAGTCTCCAAATTCATAAACCATTACCCGCTGCCCCCCTCCCAAAAAGCTAAATAATACAACAGATAAAGTCAGCTTCCTGCATTTTAGCCAAATATTAACATGATAGGATCACATCACAAACCAAGTACCCAAATCTCAGCCTACAGCTCATATAGTCAATTCTATTCCCCTCACTGCAAACACTAATTCTCTCTTGGGGTAGAGGAATGGGGTAAGAGACAGCAGGGTTACAGGAGACAATGCTGGCAAGAATTTCTTAGGTTGTCAAAATTAGTCTTGATCAAAGTAGTAAGACAAATCAAATCAGCAAAGAGTCAATGCTATTCACAGTTAAGAGCGCAGTTTAATTTAGGAACTCCAGTAGGCATTCTCTTATAATCTAGATCCCCCACACATTACTTCTCAGAATTCCTCAAGATTTGTAAGAGCACAAGTTTAGAGGGGCAATAGAAATCTCTGTACTGAAAACAGTAACAAAACCAACTAGGGTAATAAGTAGCTTCCATTTCTATTATAGAGAATTCATCATCATTAAGGATGTGTCAATTTGATAATGACTAAGATGTACTAGAAGATAGTTATGAACTTCCTATAGTTGTTATCTCAGAAACACTACAGTCTTATCAAAAAAAGTTTGAGATATATATATATATATATGCTGTTTCCATATAAATAAGCACACTACAGACATGAAGAATAACTTCAAAAAAGAAAAAAGTCAGTTCTTAAGAGAAAATATTTTAAAGTATTATTTAGAACATAAGTTTATATTTAATATTTTGAAGACAGCCAATTTCTTTGACTATTAAAAAAACTCAAGCTCTAAACATCAGAGTAGGTTGGACTATACAATCTTTACATACAACCCTAAGGGGAGGACACAAAAGAAAACAAAAGTACTGCTTGAGCCATTCTAGAATTCCAACATTTCAAATTCAATTAAGAGCTCACGGTAATAGGTATCCTAGTTAAAAGTGCCTTTACTGAAATAAGTCAGACCTTATCTGAACTTATTAATTTCTACTCACTAATCTACTAGTTAGAAGGTAACTAGTTTTTGAAAGATGCTAGTATCCTTAAAAAATATTTAAAGCTAAAAATTAACTCATAAAGATAGCTTTATAATAAACCTTTGAATTTTTAATTATTCTGGAACTCTTTACAATTATATCACTAAGAATTTTCTTTTTGATGTTAATTTTATCAGTAAGTAATTTCAGAAGATTTAGTCAGTCAGCAAATAATTAACACCACCTTCTCTGACATTTATACATATGACTGGAAGAGTTAAGTCCCACTTATTTTTAGTATGAATTAACCTAACACTACAAGTAGCATGTGAGTGGGCTCCCTTATTCCTAGTTCCTATCCTCAAATGCCAACAGCAACTCTAAATACAGTTAAAACTTTTAGCAATTAACCAAATATATAATATAAGCAGATAGTGATTTCTACCGTGCTTTTTAATCTCTGGTAGTTAATACTTCCTGTAATTTTTCTTTAAAAACACCTTCTATTAGTCAAACCATCTCTCTTGAAATTTAAGATGACATCATAGACTTCTTTTTCCTATTAGCCAAAATTACTAAAAATTTAAGGGAAAGCACAATGTAACTGCAACTTAGTAGTAGAATACCTGCTAATCATATTCTAAAAATCATCCCAAAATATTAAAAATAAAGTAAGTTATTCAGGCTAGGAAGAATATAATTTAAGGTGGAAATTACAATTATAATGACCCTAAGAATGTTTGATTTTGTTCAATATTCAATTCTCAATTTTCCCCAAAAATCTGATAAATTTCTATAGACTTATTAAAATTACTGATCTGTGTTTATCTGCCTCTTCCTTCAGGAAACAATCTACTACCTCTTGAGAATGTCTTGGTTATAAAAATGTGTCTTTTCCTTAATAATAAGGGCGCTTTTAAAGTGATGGTCATCTTAATGGGAATGTCAAAGCAAGCTAGTCATCTATGGTTACTAGTCTGATTTAAATTATAATGCATGGATATTGCCTGAATGTTCACCTATTTTCAAGAGCTGTGTATTTTTCCAGATAAGAGAGATTTCCCCCCAGAGACATATATAGCTATGAAACCCAACAGGGGCCAGGAGGGAGCAGTCAGTAATACACATATACAATACACACAAACAGCAATAACTAGGTTATTTCTAAAAGGACTCAGGTAAATCCTAATAACAATTTGCATCAAATGCCACCCCCTAGAATGTAGGCTTTGGGGAAGTGATGTAACCTCAAAAACTTCACATGGGAAAAAGGCCAAAGTGACTGCCAGAGTGCAGACATCAGGCTCACCTGACTATGATGCCTGTGGTTTTATACTGCGTCAGATGGGAACAGTGGTGCCGACTGACCCCACAAATGAGGGCTGTTGAGTACTGCCTCAGGGGTGCATTTGTGGCTCTTTTCCTCCTGTTGTCCATTTGGAAGGAGAGTGCTTCAGAGATGACAAAGAACAGGAAAACAAAAATTCACACAAAGGAAAAGAAAAGTTCCCTCACTAAGGCATCACACACACAATCCTAAAAGCAAGTAATAAAATAAGCCTGCAAACCAGCCATTGATTGCTGTATCAAGTAGTGAATGTGAGAACAAATATCCTGGGAAGACAACTGGAGAGAGGCTGACTACAGAGCAGACCCTGATGTAAAGGGGAAAGAGATGGCCACCAGCTTGTGTATCCTTCTAGGCTAATGCTGAAAATCAAGTAAAGGCTCAATTAGGGAACAGAATTTTTGAATATATGTTAACAATGGCTTACTAATCTCTTCTTCCTTCAGAAAATATGTAGCACGCTGAAATCACAGCCACTAAAGAATCAAAACAATTTATTCACAACCTCTGATTATTTGAAAGGAAAAGGATAAAGAATTATTTTTTTAAAAACAAGATTTCCAAAGTAATTAGAAGAGGTGATTATCTGATGTAGACATCTACGTGCCTTTCATTCTGGTCTGGTCACCTTATAGGAGAAAAATGAAGTCAAGTCTATCAACTTACCCTTTCCACTTCATGGCATTTTTTCAAAGCATCCCCGTATCTCCCCAAACGCTGATAAGCTGAAATGCATTCTGTCTGAAACCACATACACTGCATTTCATTTAGATTTTCCATAGCAGATGTTCCTTCCTGAAATGGAAGCATTTATAACTATAGGAAGCAAACAAAAGATCCCATAACTACAAGTATTAGTATGACAATAAATAGCAATTAATAACTTATCAACATGCTTCCAAAAAGCTCCTGTGTTTTAATAGAGAAGGAACGGATTGTGAAGTAAGTCTGAAGGGAAAAGAAAAATATTTGATGGTTTCACTTACGGGAGGAGTTATAGGGAAAGCAAACAAAGTATGGGGGGGGGGGAAGACAAAACTTTCAGGCAAACTATACATCTGAGGCACAATATAAGGGAGAGGGAGGAAGAAGGCTCAACATGGGAGGGAAGAGCACAAGGGACTTTGGTGATGGTGCACAGGTGATGTGGTGGTGGAAGATTTACAGGGACTACACCTGAGGGGAGCAATCAAATACTGCAGAAAAGTGCACAGTGCAAGAGAGTTAAATAATAAAAAAAATAAAAAAGCTCTTAGTGTCTTAGAACTGTATAGTCCTATCCAATTCTGTGGGTATATTCAACATTACAAAGAACTCCAAAGTTTTCAATAGTAAAGGTTTTATTTAACTTATTTAAGACAGTAAGTTAGAAGGTTCACCTTCTGCTTTTTTTTTTTTTTTTTGGCTGGGCTTCAGTGACTTTTACTGTTTTCTGTATTACTTTTGATGGTTTTGTTGTAGCTGTCTTTAATTATTTTTCATTGAATGACATATAGCAGCAGACATGATTCAGAGGTATAGGCTGACATTTCTTCACACTATACTTACCAAGGTACTCATAATCCATTGGGGCCCCACCACATTCTGTTCCCTAGACATCCATCCTCACCCCTCCCCCAAGTTGACACCTCAATTCTACAGTGGATCTCTAAGGACTTGTTATGGTTTGTTTAGTTTCCTCTGTCCCTTTATTTCATTTCTCTACAGTCCACTAGTGTATTCATCCAGCCTTTCCTTCTGACTCACTTTCCTTCCTAATTTACTTTATTTATAGCATAATACCCTCTAGTTCCATCCATGTTGTCTCAAAAAACAAAGAGGTCATTTTTTTTTTTTCAAAATGACTTACATGAAATATTTAGCACAGATCTCATTTTTGGTCCTTCATTATTTTCCTAGATTTACTTTTATCTTTTTTTAATTTTTGACATATTTTGATATTGTCATATTTTAATGTACTTCTTTTCTCAAAATATCCAAAGCTAAATTATCAATTTTGCTGGTCAGTCAGTCAAAGAAAGAGTTACAAGAAAAAGAGTTCTGGGCCAACGTGCGGTCTGATCCTTTTTTGGGGAGGTGACCCACATGGTGCAGCACACCTCTCCTGTCTCAACCACTGTACCCCTCAGCAATCTATTTCTGTCTGCTCCTCTCCCCACTCTGTCTCTGGTGAACCCTCTCACCGCCCCTGCACCTCAGGCCTGTACCCCAGTTCTGTATGGATAAATAAATTAAAAAAAAAAAAGGTCACATATTTTTATGTGTTCTTCCCATTTCAATACATAGAACTTTTAAAAATATATTAAAAATATATACTTAAGTGCCTAGACTTGATAAAATTAATCATATTATTTCAGGAAGAGCATAAGAGTTCACCCTTGTTTTAACAACTAAGTATCCCCTTGAGCATATTCCACATCATCTTCTAACCCACTGACTGTTTCTGGAACTTGGTTACTGTAAACAGTGCCTCAATGAACATATACATATCCCTTTGAATTGATGTTTTTGCATTATTCTGGTAGATGCCTTAGAAGTGGAACTGTTTTGCAATTCTGAGAAACTTCCATGTTGTTTTCCATTCCTATGGAAAATTACTCTACATTCCCAAAACAGTGTCCAAGCATTCCTTTTGCTCCACACCCTCACCAACACTTGTTGCTTCTGCTCTTTTTGAGATGGGCCATTCTCAAAATGTGAGGGAATAGCTCATTATGATTTTAATTTGTGTTTCCCTGATAAGTCATGAGGAGTGTTTTTAATAAACTAAAGTACTTAACCTCTCTCCTGCTGACCAGAGCCCTCCACTTTATATGAAATATGCATTTAGAAATATAAACTACTTATTTCAAATTTGCAAATAAAACTTGGCAAACATGGCTTCAATGTCACATTCAATAAGTACTATATATTAAGAATCTCAAGAAATCCTCTGGAGTTTTTTTTTAATTATTTTTTATCATGAGTTAAAGATAACTTCTCCAATTCTACTGCTTATCTTTTCATTTGTTATGGTTATTCCTTGTTATACATAAACTTTAATATAATCAATTTTACCCTTATAGTTTAACTTTTGTTATCTTAAAAAAATGCTTCCTACTTCAAGCTATTAAGGTAAACCACAAAATAACTGGAAAGTTTGTTTTTCATACTCTAAGGTTTAATCCACTAAAACTAATCTGTATGCAGCTTATAAAACAAGGATGTCATTTTATTTTTTTACAACACTATTAATTGTTCCAACTGTATCTTTTAAACTATGATTTTTATACCACCTCTGGCTAATTAATACCAAATTTGCAGATACACATGTATCTGTATTTTTAACCAGAGATATACATAGCTTTAATAATATAACAAAGTATATGTGTGGAAGGTTGGAGAGAAGGGAAAGGATATTTAGCCCAACGATTTCAATTTTTTTTTTTTTTTAAGATTTATTTATTTGTACATACAGAACTGGGGTACAGGCCAGAGACTCAGGGGCAGTGAGAGACTTCACCAGAGACAGAGTGGGGAGCAGAACAGGCAGATCGAGGAAGTACACTGCTGAGGGGAGCAGCGGGCGGGTCAGGAGAGGTCTGTCACGCCATGTGGTCTCCTCTGGGGCAGGCGGGGATCGAACTCATGCGGAAGTTGCTTTAGCTTCTCAGTGCTGTGCTTTAACCCGCTGCGCCACCAGGGAGGGCCTCAATTTCTTTTTTTTTTAAAGATTTATTTGTGCATACAGAACTGGGGTACAGGCCAGAGGCTCATGGGTGGTGAGAGGCTTCACCAGAGACAGAGTGGGGAACAGAACAGGCAGACTGACGAAGTACACTGCTGAGGGGAGCAGCGGGCGGGTCAGGAGAGGTCTGTCACGCCATGTGGTCACCTCTGGGGCAGGCGGGGATCGAACTCATGCGGAAGTTGCCTTAGCTTCTCAGTGCTGTGCTTTAACCCGCTGCGCCACCAGGGAGGGACCCAACAATTTCAATTTTAAGAGATAAATTCTATGATGTCACAGCAGCTACTAAGTTCACAGAAGTTAGTTTCTTAGATACAGAACTCTATTAGCAGGGGCCTCCCTAGTGGTGTAGAGGGTAAGGTCTCAGAGCTTATTAAGCTATCACCAGCCACTTCAGCCTGAGTTGTATCAGGCCAAGGAGCTGACCCACATGGCACAACAGACCTGTCCCATCTCACCTGCTGCTCCTTCAGCAGTGTATCTCAATAGTTCTGCCTTTTCTGCTCCCCACTCTGTCTCTGGTGAATCCTCTCACCATCATATTCACCCCCACCCCCATTCCAGTTCTTATATGCATAAATAAAATCTTTGGGAAAAAAAAACTATAAGCAGTTCTGAAACACATTGTAAGAGAAAATAAAAAGCATTCACAACAAAATAATAATAAGAAAAAAGTAACAAATTACTAGTGAGACAGAATTACTGAATTTTATACACACTCACAGCAGTGTACTGTTTTATTTTTGTATAACAGTATTTTGCTTCTATTTTTGTGTGTAATCAGGTCCTAGAAGCACAAGTGCCATGTACATGCATGAAAACACACACACTCAACCACAGTAAGAAAATACACTTAAGACTGTGAACTAAATGGGGCTAAAAACTATAAGAAAAATAAATTATTATGAACTTTAACAGCAATCTTCGCAAATCATAGATTTTAAATTTAAGTTTATTCTTCTAACTCAGGCAACTACCAACTCTGTATTCCCTACCCTTGTAAACTTGGAACACATTTCCTCTGCTTCTTTTATCATATTTGCTCGTAGCATATATTTTGCACATTTGGAATTGATGAATCTATCAGCTGTGTCCAAAGACTGTGCTTCATCCATCCACTTTGCAGCTTCTCTAAGATTACCTATATGCTGTAAGAAATTAAAAATTCACAATGTAAAGTTAATAAGAGAATATGGGTGTAATATAAATGGGAAAAGTTTATGATGACTAGTTATAAATGTAGCAATTTTTTTCCATTAAACTTATTTGGAACTCTACATAAATTATAATTTATTTATTGAGAGCAGAAATCACTGATTACACAACTATGCAAAATAAAATCCTTAGGATAAGATTAGGAATAGGTATATTCAAATTTATTTCTATATAAAAGAAAATTCCTAGAGTTCTCAAAGTTGCCAGATTCTTCAACTATTCAAAAACAGAAGTAAACTTTTACCTTATAAATTTTTGCTTTCATATAGAATAATTCTATTAGTGTTGGAGTACTAGTAATTGCAGCATTAATATAATCTAAAGCCAAAGAATACTGCCCAAGTTTATCAAAGTGCTGTGCCAGGAAATACTGAACCCAGAGTAGTGTCGTTGGGGGTTCCTTCTCTCCTTTTTCTGCAATCAAACAAATATAAAATTATTACAAAGAAGGCAAATAAGAATAAATCACATATTTCTTCCTCCCAATATATAATGAAATTAATGATTATTAGAACAAACAGTAAAAGCCCAGCAAAAATGAGCAATTTCTGCAGAAAGAGGTTTGGACTTCATGTCATAAAGTTCAAACGTGGTAGCCAGTTTCATCGGTTTCTAATCACTACCTCACTACAAAAAACCAGTGCTGGGAAATAAGGTGTATCAATCCAATTTGATGAATTCTCAGACTGACAACACATGGTCAAAGACCCAAGAAGAACAAACAAAATAACTTGGAAAAAGGATGTTACTATCACTGCCCGACTTCCACACAGGCATAAACTGCCACAGGACTTAGAATTTTCAAAGCCTCAACACTTTAATTAGGGAAACCCAAAGTTAACACTAATGAAGAGCCTACATTCCTGACAAAGTGGCATTAGCCCCCATATTTGAGGGGGAAAAAATCATATACATTCATCTGAGTTCTATCCTGTTCCCTGCCCTGTATCTTCAAGGTAAAGAGAAGAATACCAGGATCTCAAAATGGATTTTAGAAGGGAAGATATATAAGTATAGAGAAAGGTAGAAAGAATTACTCATACTCTATTTAAAAAAAAAAATGCCTAAAAGCTATATAGAAAATATGGGCAAAATGAAAAAATAATGCAAATACAAATTAACTAATTTTAAACATAAATAATAAATCAAGGCAAAGAGTCAAGTATTTCTTGTGTTTTTCCTATGTAAACTGTATGTCAGGGAAATCAAATATTTCATGAGAGGAAGTTCTTTATCAGAAGAATTTTACCTAAAATGCAGATGAAATTATGATTAGAAACAAATAAGAAATTGAAGTCAATGATCTTCAGTGACTACTAAAATCATTAATTAAGCCAACAGGGACTTTAGGCAGATCAGGGTGACATCTGAAACCCGATCAATCTTATTATCACAAATTGAAGATACACAATCAAAGAAACTACTTTTTCCTCCACACATGATATAAAAGGAAGTAGAAAGCACCACTTATGAAAATTACATGAACCATTATCTAATCAGTCTACAAATTTAACCACAAGATTATAAGAAATGTGGGTGATATAAAAACATATTAAATGATATCATGAAAAAACAGTCAGGCAAATTCAAAACACAGGAAACTTCATAAGACAAACAATCTTTTGATAAATAGCATTTAAAAAAAAAGGGAGTGGAAATTACTGGTCAAGGCCAGCAGAATGTCAAATACATAACAATCAAATGTGTGTACTTTGGCTGAATCAAATTCAACTAAACCAATTACAGAAACATAATATGGGGGAAAATTCGAATGTGGGTTATATTTTAAATACTATGGTTTGAGAGTTAATTTTGTATAAAACAGTATTGTAGTAATTTTTGTTCGTGTTTAAATAAATGCATATTAGGCCTCCCTGGTGGACTCGTGGTCTCAGTGCAAGCACCACTACAGACTGAGGTGGATCGCCTGAATTCAATCCCTAGATCAGGGAAGCTGACCCACAGGTACAGCAGACCTCTCCTGGATCTCCAGCTGCTCCCCTCGGCAGTGTATTTCAGTAGGTCTTCCTATTCTGCTCCCCATTCTGTCTCTGGTGAATCCTCTCAGCACCCCCCCCCTTCAACTCTGGCATACCCCCTACTTCTATGCATAAATAAAAATTACTCTCTAAAATTTTTTAAATAGATGCATAGTGAAGCACTGATTGGTAAAATGTATCCTTGCTTTAAAAATATCACAGAGAATAACAGAGACACAAGTTATTTCAAGTAATACTGGCAAGAACTAACAGAGGTGGGTGATGGTAACACAGAAATGGGTCATTATTGTATTAACTTCTGTGTTATTTTAATTTAAACTTTATTTCAAACTAACAAAAATAAAAAGACAATGGCATGGAAAAGACATGAAGAACTCAAATTAAAGTTCTTTATGACTGAACGTATTCTAGTGTTTTCTAAGTTAAGTTGCCTTTTTTATACATGCTTCTACAGAGAAATGAAGAACCAAATTATACAAGAGTTAAAATAGTAAGAGTGGAAAGATAAGAGAAGTAGGGATTCAAGAAAAAATAGGTTTTCACTAACTATATGTCAAGTGAGCTGTTCAACCTCTCGTCTTTACTGTTCCAGGGTTAACTCCCACAAGATTATGAAAAATTTAAATTAGATATGATTAATAGTGTTCTCTTATCATTCACTAATTGCAAAAACTATTTAGTAAATAGTTACCATCTAAGCATACACATCGTAAGCATGATACAGTTGTATTTCAATTAAAAATGGATAGAAATGAGTAATCAAATTCCAATTCAATCTAATTTAACTTACCATAAGGACTAAAAAGGTCACACATTTTAAGAGAGGCTTCATAATTAGTAACTAGCTCCTGGATTATAGAAACCTGTTAAAGAAACATGTTTTAAGACATCTTAATATTTTATATGAGATATTTCTATTTACCATGAACTAAATCAAATTTAGAAATAACATGCAGCTTATTTCAGAACTACAAAATGACAGAACTACTAAGGTAGTTGCTTCTCCCCCTACTTGTGTGGGGGCTAAGAAAAAAAAAAAACACAGAAAATATACTTTTTTTTAAATAAGAATAAAACAAATCTCACTAACTTCTCATCTCAATAAGATATAATAATTATCACTAGGTACTGCAAAACCGTTTTCCAGTATTATTAACAATCCATCTATCTGCATTTTGCTTGCTATGAAGCTACTACACATTCAGATTTTCTAAAATGCTGATTACCAAAAAAAATTATCAAACTCAGTGAACTGATGAAAAACAAATAAACTTCGTTCAAATTTAAATTACCTTATTTTCAGTGATCACTTGATAGATTTGTATTTCAATACTACACTCAGTTAAGACAAAAATATTATAAACCATATTTAAGCATACCATGGCTTGAAAGTTTCAAAGAAAGTCACATGAATTAGAATTGATAGGAGAAAAAAATGTATATGCACTTGGTTTTAAATACCTATTGATGTTAACTGTGCAAAATGATCTAGAAAATGAAAGTATTTTATTTGTGAACTTCTATTCTACTAGTAGTAATTTGAAGATATTCCAGCTTTTAAAACTGGGTGATACTAATACCAACAAATATAAGGAGTGTACCAGACAGAGGAGAAATAATAATAAATCAGTATCACAAGTACTTTACATATATGACAGTAAAGCCAACCTTACGTGACATCACGTAAAGTAATTAACTTCTATTAACACATTTACCCTCAATACAACCCTATCAAGTATGCTCTGTTACTGAATTCAATTTATCAGTAAAAGAAAAGTAAAACAAAATGAACGTACACAAATGTGGAGCCAAAATTTGACCCAAGCAACAAGACCAGAGCTTTGCTCTTAACTGCTTTGTTATACTGGTCATTGAATGAGGTAGTGACACATTTATATCTAATGGACTTTTCTTCCTGACGCAAAGGGGAATAGTAAGATTAGAGACCAATAATACAAAGAGATCCTTCTCCTAGTCAATTTTAGTGAACAAAACATCAATAATGCATATTGACTCAGCCAGACCATGGCAACTTTACTAAGTGCATCAAAACAGCGGAGAGATAAACTTTAAAAACATAGACATGGGCCTGTGAACGTATGCACAAATAGGGAACAAGAGGAGAAAACATGAGAGAATGAGAAAAAAGAGAGGGCTTATTACAGCTTTCTGTGGAATTAAACAACGTATTTACAAATACATTTTCAGATTAAATTCCCAAGGAAACCTAGAGTTTTTGAAACTTAAAGAAATTTTGTTTTATTTGAGGAAATAGAGTAATGCTACAAAGGAAAAAAAGGGGCCAATCAACTAGTCTTTCTTTAGGAAGTCTTAAACCTATGTTTCAGAACTCTGTATGCTCTATGATCTCTAATATTAAATACTAAAAATAATTATATCATTAAATAAACTATAATCTTTTTCAAATTTAAAAATATTTATTACAACTATCTAAGAATAAGAAACACTTTTTCTGTGTATGAATCTTTGTGTAACATGCATTTAAAAAAAAGAACAAGGCTTGAAAAGTTTTAAGTGAAAAATGAAACTGATTTGCTTGCTATCGTCAGCAGCCCTAGTTAAAAGGCAGACATAACCTGTATGATTATAGGTTTTCCTACCCAAACTCACTTATTTACCTAAAATTATGAAATCTGAAAGTTACTATTTTGTAAAATATGTGATTTTAGACATTTTTACTATTAAAAAAATTGTATTTGTTTCCACAAGTGTCTGCATAAACTAACTAAAATTCACTATTCTACTGCCACTGAAGAGCAGATCATGTTATCATAGAGTCCTAAACAGATTTTGTTATCTAGATGGCTACCAAATGTATGTACACTTCATACATCCCCTGTCATATTATGGTGTGATCTGATAAGCTTAATTCTGAATCCAAATAGGAATTCTACCATACAAAGTCCCACATTTTATAAAACAGTAAAGCTGGACCCTTATCTAACACCACATACAAGGTGTTACAAGGTCCTAAATAGAAGACCACAAACAATAAAACTTAGCTAAAAAGAGAAATGCTTCATGACACTGGATTTACTAATGTCTTGGAAATAAAACCAAAGGCACAGGAACAAAAGGAAAAAATGGAGAAAAAGGACTTCATGAAAAATTTTAAATTTGTGCATCAAAAGACACAATCCAGAGTAAGAAAGCAAATTATAAATTATATTTTCTTGCTAAAAGAAAGTTACTATTTTATAGTAACTTTCTGCAATCATCTAATAAGGGAATAATACCCAGAATAAATGAAGAATTCCTAATACTCAACAGAAAAACAACCTGATTCAAAAATCTGCAAAGTATATGAATAGACATTTTTCCAAAGGGCCAATGAGCATACAACATACTTATCATTAATCATTACAGAAATGCAAAACAAAACTTCAATGAGATACCACCTCACACCAGTGAGGATGGCTATTACCAGGAACACAGAAAGTAGGTGTTAACAAGGATCTAAGAAACTGGAAATCTTGTACACAGTTGGTGGGATTGTAATATGGCATAATCACTGTGAAAACCAATACGGCAGTCCTCAAAATAAAAACAGAAATGCAAAATGACCTAGCAATTCCACTTTCGTGGTTATAAACTCAAAATAACTGAAAGCAGGGTCTCAAATAGATGTATACCACCCGATCCCACCCTGTGTTAATAGCAGTATTACTCAAAGCAGCCAAAACATGGAAGTAACCCAAATGACCAGTCATAGAAAAACAGACAAGCAAAATGTGATATATACAATGGCATATTATTAAGTCTTAAAAAGGGAGAAACATCTGTAATGTATGATAATACGCATAAATCTTAAGCACATTAAGTGGAAAAAGTCACTTTTTCACAGAAAGATATATACTATATAGTTGTACTTATCAGGTAGTTAAGTAGTCAAAAATCATAAAGGTAGAAAGTAGAATGGTGGTTGCCAAGGGTTGAGGGGGAAGTGAAAAAGGGAAGGTATTGTTTAATAGTACAACATGAAAAGAGTCTTGGACATAGCTACAATGAAGGCTACAAACAATGTGGATGTGTAAGACCACTAAACTGCACACTGAAAAATGATTAAGATGCTCAATTTGCTAAGTACCTTTACCACACACACACACACTCACACACACACACACACACACAGTAGATCTCAGAGTGTGAACTTCATACCATTAGTATCATCAACTAGGGCATTAGCATCATCCGGTACATTACTAGAGGTGTAACTTTTCGGGTAAAACCCAAGACTGACAGAAACTCTGGACCCACCAACCTCTTTTCAGCTGATTAAGCTGATTAAAACTGTTGCAAAAAAGGCTATTATAAAGCAACTTTAAATAGGTATTTTAATCCACTATGACTAATACCAGCACATCAATCTCACTTAGACCATCTGTAACGTGAAATACTTTTTTCTAGGCTGACAAATTCATACAGCAACTCCTCACTAAATAATTATTCCAGGCTGACAAATTCAGTACAGCAACTCCTCACTGAATGTCAGATTGGTTTTAAGTCAATAATAAAAAACAAACTACATCTTCAAGAAATGCCATTTTGTTCAGTGTCATTTTCTGATGACACTGTTGACTAAAACGAAATCATAGCTGATGATGAATGAGAGGAACTTATTCCAGAACCTACCATTCAATTTAAGATGGCAAGTACTTTTAATCAACTTACAATGCCATCTACTGGCAATTCCAAAAACTACAGATAAAGCTGATTTAATTTAAGAGTACATCTTTCCATCAGAGGGTGGAAAAAAAAATGTTAAGCCAGTTTTAATAAAAAAAAAAAGTACAACAAAACATAGGTTGATGTTACATATAATTCTTCATAAAACAGATCTTCAGCTTCAAAACAAGATCTGAAATATAAGTTAAAGTACACATGAAATATTGTACATAAAAAAAATCTTAAGAGCATTGGCCTTTATCATTCATTAAACAGTTCTTGATCTTAAAAAAATTATATTACAGTCATTAACTCAGTAATTAAATCTATTTTCCAAATCTGCTTACGAAAGTTGGTCAAAGGAGTTTTATTAAGACATAAGGTCCCATTTCAAATTTACTTCAAATTATATATAAAATACAAAGAATATTCAACTCCTTTCTTGTAAAACTTACTATGCAATAGATATTCTTCTAGAAGATATTTTGCCACTACCACTTAAAATAAAGAATGCTGACCTACTTAAAGTATCAAAAATCACAATAAAAAGTTTAAAGCTTCAAAATTAAAATCTTGAATTATGTGGTATAACTTTTCTATGGGTTGAAACAACCTTTTTTATTTTTTTTTAATCCATGTTAGAAACTGAGAACAAGAAACAAAATTGCTGCATTATTTTCCAGTAAATGTACAATTAGTCATGGGATTTCAATTTTGGAAGGCAGCTATGCTTACCACTATACCACCAACGCTGGGATTTCAATTTTGAAGGATCTAATTACAAAGATAAGTAGTTTTTTCTTTTTTAAATTATTTGTTTATTTATTTTTTTACATCACTGCTTTGTTTTCTCGGGTGTAGTCCCCATAGAATTTCCACCACCATGTCCATCGTGCACCACCACAGTCCCTTATATAAGACCACATTCCCTCCCCTAAAAAAAACAGTAATTTTTTGCACAGATAAGATATGAAGGGTGAGGTAGAGAGAAGATGATCAGCTCTTGACACCTTCTTTGAATTCAGCACTTTTTAAAAAAACTATCATTTAATTAAAACACACAGTAACTATTAACTATTTAATGTAAAGTCAAGAAACAGATTCAGGTAGTTGCTCAAGCAAACAAGTGATGGAGTCACAATTCCAAAACAGGCCTCATTCCAAGCAATGCTCTGTTTTATACCAGCATTTCCTAAAATGGGATATATACGTGGAATACAAGATGATAATTCATCAACTGAAATTTCTGAAGTTATAGTTTATGTGCCTTATAAAAAAATTAAGTAGGACAAACCTGTAGCTTTTATAAGAAACAAAAATGTCATCAAATTTAGCAAGAAATATTAAGTAAATAACACTATAGTATCACCTGCATTTGTAAAAATCATATGGGGATTAGCAAATGAAATGCCAACAGACATTATATTATACTACACTGCTTTTTCTAGGTAGGAAATAGCACTTGCTTTTGTTTGCTCTTCCCAAATTTAAAACTTTTAAAATAAAGAAGAAACTAATTCATGTGCCTCATTACAATTATCATTTTTCAAAAAAAAATGTGGCTTGGTAGGTTCTCTGAAACCACTGTAAATAATGGCTTTTTGAATTTTTAAAATTAGGATTATTTACTCATTTTTCTTCTTTCAGTGAGAAACTCATGCTTATCACAAAAAATTCTTAATATAGACAAAAAGGAATGAAGTAATTCATGCTACCACAAAGATGAACATACTATGTTATGTAAAAGGAGCAAGAAAAAAAAACTAATCTCAATTTTATGATTTGTTTTTAGAAACATCCCGAAGTGACAAATCCTTAACTGAGGCTAATGATTTGCGCCAGGCTAGGGAAAATGGAGTAATGAAAATTGTCTAAAATTATGCTGTGGTGATTAATGCCTGGACAACTCTGAATATATTAAAAATTCCTGAATTTTTAATTATACTTCAAATTGTGCACTTTATGCATGTGATCAATAAACATGTTAACAAAAACAACTACTAAAAAATATTTAGAAAGGAATCTATATTGCCATTTAGTGGATAGCAGCCAAGTATACTGCTAATTATCCTATAATGCAACTGAATTATTGAGTCCAACATATTAAAATGTAATTCTTTATTGTGGGTGCTTGCTGCTGCATTTATAGAATGTTTAACAGTACCCTTGGTCTCTATCCACTAAGATGTCAGTAGCACACATACCCCACAATGTTGACAATCAAAAATGTGTCCGAACATTGCAAAATGACCCTTGGGGACAGAATTCCTTCCCCTGTACCACCTCCATTGGGAAGCACTGCTCTAGACGGAAAGCAAATTTTAAGTTATTTCTAAAACAATAGATTAGCTTCCACTGTAAAAACAAAGATCATCAAATCTGGTTACATTAACTTTTTTACTTCTTTATTGTTAATAAATCTTCATAGAAAAGAAATATTTAGTAGTACCACCCAAGTTTGTGAAGTATACAGTGAACCTTTTCAAACAATGCTAGTGTCAATATAAATTTTTATTTGGAACTTTACAGAAAACAACCACAAAATGTTCACAGAGTATACTCATTAATTTTTCTAAAAATTTATGGAAAATAATCCTAAACAAAGTTATGTGTAAAAGATACCTATAATTTTTTTTTAATAGTGAAAAGGAAAATCAAAGTTCAAAAACAGAAGTATTTCTGGTATGAAACTATGACATCTTTAAAAAGAAAGACAATGAAGTTTATATATTAGCATATTAAGTGCTGATGAAATTGTTGAGTAGAGGGAAACAAAATTTTATAATCAAAAGTACTGGAACTACTCATATTCACCACAAATAAATTCATGGGGGAAAAATTCTGAAAATCACAATTTGAAATACTAAAGGCATTTGTTTTCCTTTCCTCACTATTTTTTAAGAGACATTTTAAAAATACTTTTACAATAGCATTATACCCTGAGCTACCTTCAAAATACATTTTGACATTAGTCAGATTAAAAACTATAACTGTTTTATCAGATTTAACCTCGATGAAATCCTTCGTTAAGAATTAAAATGCAGTCCTTAACTAAAACTGGTCAGCAAACTAAAAATTTGAAAATATCCTCACAAGTATTCACAAATGTTAGGTAGCCAAAACAATGATTCAACTGCACAAGACACTGGTATGTGAATTTTCTTCTAAACAGATGATGAAACTTACAATATTGAAAACACAGTACAGTACTATAAATGTCATTTTCTCTTCCTTATGAATTTCTTAATATTTTCTCTGATTTACTCTATTGTCAGAATACAGTACATAACATAAAAAACGTGTTAACTGGTAATGTTATCAGTAAGAATTTTGGCTAAGAGAAGATAATTAAGATTTGAGGGAGTCAATTTTTATATGAAAATTCCATTGAATTTTTATGTAATTTTTATGTAAAATGTTTACCCCAAACCTCTATATTCAAATGTTAACTGTATTCAAGAAGCATTTCCTGTATTTCTGACTTCTGAAATTTTTAATTCATTTTCTGCAGTTTAACTCACTTCTCTAAACACTTGATAAACATTCCTGTTTCTTGCTTAAAAATTAACACTGATGTTAAAAAGTTCCTATACAAATTAATGCATTCTCTGCACCTTCCAAAAAAATGCAATTTCCTTGCTTTATTACAGATGTGTGTAACACATTTTATGAAGATATTTTGGACCACTACTGACGGGACTTTACTTTTAAGTCAAAGCACCTTGTGGAAATTGTGAAAGTTCAGTGATTAAGAGGAACAAATTCTTTAATATATTTAGCATTTGCTGAAAAAAGCATTACAAAAACAATACTCTAATTCATGTAATTTCTTTATTATTTCTGATAATTCATCTCACCTTTTTTCTTTGTTACCCTTGCCCAAAAAAATTTTGAAAAATGTTAACTTACATATTCCACAGAAATTACTGGTAGACACTACTACATGTTTTTATGTGAATCAATCATCATTTCTCAAAAAAATCAACTGCACTATTATTGCAGCCAGGTAACATATACCTCAGAAATAAAAGAGTTCTAAATTTTTTTAACACATTTTAATAGATACTACTGTATGTTATCAGTTGTCCCATTTATGAAACCCACTGCCACAGGGAACGGAGTGCTAATATCAGTTCTACTTATACCTCTAAGGTCTATCACTGCTTTTGTTTGTACTACTTTACTCTTCACGATTATTGCTAATTCACAAATTATTATGGATCAAAGCTAAATAAAATAATTGACATTTAACTAAAAATGTTTAAGTGTTTATAATATTTTCTTTATACACTAGTATCTTTCTAAAAGCTCTTTGACAACCAAAAAAATATATATATTAGACTTAAATAAGCAATGATTGTTTGGAAATAAAAGTATAACTTATTTTCCATTAACTTTTAATTAATTTTCTAGTTTTAAGACCAAGTACCCATCACTCCCTTTTAACTACCTAAAACTACTATCACTTATTAAAATGTAGCCTATCAGTTAAAACTACTACTCCTTTGTTAACCAAATGGCATTTTAACTACTACACTAACTCAATTAACTACAATCTTAAAAAGCAGGGATACCAAATTTAAAATATGTAATCACACTATACAATAAAATAATTAAATACAGACCTCGGTGATATGTCAAACTTAAAATCTTACTAGAAAAGTATATGCATAGAAAACCTTTATAATCTTAGCATTTTTATAGTCTTTACTCTGTAAATTTCAGATTAACATTTCCTATGATATATTTATTATATATGCATATAACTGATTATTAACACTAAAGCAAATAACATTACTAGAATAAAGAGCATGATTAAATCATAGTATGTTGTTTAATGGAAATCTGTGTAACTGACTTTTAAAAAGACTAAAGCAAAACTTAAAAAGACCAAATTTTACCTTTTCTGTATTGTAATATAAAGATTTCAAAGTAGTAAACAAGGGTGGACAACCTTTACTGAAGTTAACCCTCAGGAACTTATCCATTCGTTCTCTAAATTTTTCACCTAGAAACAAAAGTGTATTTTGTTATACTTTCAATAGATGCAAACGGTCTTAAAAATAATTTTATAAATAAAGCTCCCTCAGAAGCAATTATCCTCTCTCCATTTTTAAACCCCAAAAGTTAACACTGTTTTTTACCATTAAAAAAAGCACTACACCGAATATCTCAGTTTGCACTATATATTCTTTTAGATATCTTCAAAACACCTTCACAGAACTCTTGAAAAGATAGGTAAACAAATAATTGTGCAGCTTTAAGTTGAAAGTAAAAGTAAACTACTATCTAATTATAGTCCTCTTAGCATGTTATCTGTCCTAATCTCACATAATCAGTTCTGTTGTCTACAGAAAATTCATGAAGCACTTTGCAGACCGGTCAAGATTCTATTGTAACCAACCAAGTACCAGTCAAAGTATCTCTTGAACACTAAAGTGGCATCTACAAATGTTTTCTGAATCAATGAATTACTCCAACATTCATTCATCTCACAAGCATGTATCAAGCTCCTACTATGTGCCAGGCACTGTTCCAGATACAGTAGATAAAGTACTAAAATTTTTATCACCCTGCTCTCATGGAACTTAACATTATAGTGTGTGACATGTAAAGTAAGAAAACAAAATAGGTTTACAGATCTAAATAAATGTTACACATTAGACTGAGCCCCTGGAACATTCTAACATCACACTTAATATAAATACAACAAGTAAATAATTCTATTATTGCCAAACACCAAAAAAAATTGGCATCCCTGTTCCAAAGCATAAAAATTGAAAAGAATTTTAATTTTAAACACAAAGGTGTTAACTCAAGACAAATTAACTTTTTGACAGAAAAAGTTACTGAGGACACTGATTTATCTACTTTTAAAAAAAGATACATCATGGAAAACTGTTCGGAGGTTCCTCAAACTGCTAAACATGGAGCTTCCCTATGACTCAGCAATCCCACTCCTAGCTACCTACCCAAAAGACACAAAAACACTGATTGAAAAAGATACCTGCACCCCATGTTTATTGCTGCTTTATTTACAATTGGAAAAACATGAAAGCAGCCCAAATGCCCAAAAGTAGATGACTGGATTAAAAAGATGTGGTACATATATACAATGGAATATTACTCAGCAACCAAAAAAAGAAAAACACATGTCTTTTGCAGCAACCTGGATGGAGCTGGAAAAGATCATGCTTAGTGAGATAAGCCAGAAAGAGAAAGAAAAATACCAGATGGTTTCGCTCATAGCAGGAGTATAATGGACCAGACAAGAAAATAACAAGAATAATGAACAACCATATACCAGAGACATTTTGTGGGGGTGGAGTGGAGAATGGGATCAAAACTGGGGGGAGGGAAGTGCACGGAATTATGGTGATGGCACATAGGTGACTTGGTGATGGGAATCCCACGGGGATTACAACTGAGATGGAAAAAAAAATGTACAAAATGTTGTAAAAATAAACTTATAAAATTTAAAAAAAAAGATACGTCATGAATAAAAAAGACATGTACATTATGAATAACTACTGAAATAGGTTATTTTAATTTCCCATGCCTGACATTACTAAACAAAATATGCAGTGAATATGGATGTAATAAAAATCTGAAAGAACAATTTTAATTTTAAGGAAAATTTATCAAATGTAAAAACAGGTTCAACATTTACTAATTATATTTACTACAGAGTCTCTGCTCTTTTATTAGATCATATATAATATAAAATATAGGCCTGTTGAAAATCACTGATTACAAAAACAAAAAAAAATTTCTCCTTGGTTTCAAAATACAGCATTACTTCCTTAAAAACCTGAAGCAGTTTCAGAGATCAAATCCTACTAACACTTCCTCTGATAAAAAGCAGAAGTCAGCAATATTGTGATAACAATAAGAGATGCTGTTGCTTAGAGGAAATGTATATTCCTCCACTTACTTGGTGTGTAACCTTGGGCAAATAGCTGTCCATTAAAAATCTCACTTTCTGTACTATAAGGGTAATATCAACACCAGTCTTAAGCATATTCTTGTATGGCTCAAGCAAGATAAGGAGAAAGCAGAGTACGTGTCACATAGTAACCGCTCAATAAATGTTATCTTATCAATTTATGACTGGGTATATGTCAGCTATTTTATTTCCACAGTAATATTTTGTATGTGCTATCATCTACTAAGAAAAATAGCATTTTATCTTCACATCAGTGGCTACTATTCTGATCTCTACTTTCTAGTCAACTTTCTTCAGTCTGCTCAAATCACACTGGCATATTAGATTTGAAAGACAATATCCCCACTATCAATTATTGAAAGCCTTTTCTATTAAGCTGTTGGTCAGAATATAAGAAAGGAAAGAAAGCCCTATATATGCTGGTAAAGGACTGCATTACAGATACAGAGTTTATTGAAAAGAAAAACCAGGTTAGAGCAATCTGTACTAACACTTTTGTACAAAAAAGGAAGAGAAAATTAAACTATGTAGAAACTCCCCACACACATATTTGTTTTATATGCACAGTGCTATTTCTGGAAGAATAGTTCATCTACTGATAAATATGGTAGTTTGCAGAAAGTACCCACAGTAGCCAGGGAACAGAAAATTGAAAAAGACTTTTTCTTTGTACCCTTTTAATTGGAACTGTATGAATGTATTATCTAAGTAAGAAATCCACACATAACTACTAAACTGCTAATTCACACATCATATCCCTAAAATACTATTTACCCACCTTTATTTTTTTTCTATATGTATAAGAACCAACTCACAGAACAACCTTCCTAGTTATTTTAAAATAATAGTACGTATAGTCTTACCTCTGCAAGAGGAGACCCATCAATATTATGTGATGCAATTTTACAGCTATAAAACCGGTTAATCTGACTACAAAGATGCTACACTAATTTTTATCTAGATAGGTAGCACAACTGCATATAAAAACTGTTTTCCCAAAAACCACTGCTAAAGTAACTAACATAAACAGAAAAATCAGAATGCATCTGATTCACTAGAAATTACTCTATATAATGGTGTATGCTCTAGTAAAAGAATAATTATGTGACCTCATGTAGGTATTAGCTAGCACTACAGTGGTAGTATTATTAAATATATAGTTGTATTGAATCAGCACCTCATATACCTTAAATTTAAACAATGTATGTCAAACTCAATAAAATTAATCCAATGAAAATAAAATAATGGAGCAAAATTTAATTATGCATCTTAATATCTAATACACCAAATTCTCTTCCATTTTCCCTCCTTGACAAACTAAAATATTTTGAAAAGTAGCTACATCCTTACATTATATATTCATATATCTTAATATTTTACATTATTTGACAATTTCCTCAGGATTTCTATGTTTCCTAGGTACTAAGCCTTTTTATTTTTGATCTAAAAACCAGAAAGCCTTTTTTCAAGACTTTCACCTTACATTCTCAAGTTCCATCACATGTCTTAAAAATGATCTTACTGCTTTGGCCAACTCTAAGATGCCATTCACATTAGACATGAAATTATTTCTAGACATGAAAAGACTTCATGAGTTTGTGCACTGATAGTATTTGTACAATTTTTATATACAGTCACTGGAGCTTTTTAAATTCATGTTATTAACGAGAGAACCTCACAGTAATATTGACCTTGAGGTCTATGCATCAGACTAGTCACCTGAAACTTAATCTTGTAAAAGGATCCTTCTAGCACTTCAATAACAGCATTTCCAAGACAGAGGGTCCAGTATAATTCCAATTGCAAATGAAATCAAACTTTACATTAATAGCTGGTTCCACGTAAACCAATTGAAGTAAATTCTATTTCAATTAAAATACATTTAATTACAAATTAAAACTCAATTTCCTACCAATTTACATAGAGCTTTTACTAAACTGTATTGGCTATGGGAAAAAATCCAGGCAGTGTACAGCTGAAGTTCCATGTTCCATAAAATAAAATGAAAAAGTTTTGTTTGTAATCTTGAAGTTCAGAACTTTCTTTCCTGAAGGTGTGTGAATGCATTTGAGAATTCCAAACTAAAAAAAAACCTCCATTCATACTGTGAAATAGACATACCTTAATTTTTTTAAAAAAAATCAACAATAAAAGCCAGCTATAATATGATTCCATTTAAATAAAATGCCCAAAACAGGCAAATCCATAGGTACAAAAAATAGATTACATATTACTAGGTGCTAGGGAGGGGGATAGAGGATGGAGAATGACTACTGGACACAAAGATTTTTATTCAGGAGTGATAAAAATGTCCTGAAACCAGGTAGTGATGATAGTTGCACAACTTCATGAATATACTAAAACACTGAATTGTACACTTTAAAGTGATAATTTAGGGTATGTGAATATATATTTCAAAAAGCTGTTATGAAAGAGCAAGAAATGTGACCTCAAGCATCTTGTAATTTTTTTAATATTTACTTATGCACACAAGAACTGGGGTGTAGGCCAGAGGTGGGAATGGAGGTTATTGAGAGAATACACCAGGGCAAAGAGTGGGGAGCAGAACAGGCAGATTGACTAAATGCACTGTTGAGGGGAGCAGCCAGCCTGCTAGACAGAAGAGAGGTCTGTTGCACCAGATGGGTTAGCTCCCTGCCTCGGGATCCAACTCATGTTGCAGTAGCTGGTGATCCTTGATTGTGCTCAGACTCCCTTGTGCCACCTAGGGAGGTCCTCATGAAGTATTTTTACTAGGGAAATGCTCCTTCCTACAACAGTACATTCTATTTTGGAAATTCACAATGCATATATTAAAATTTTAAGAAGTCTTGCAGAAACCTGGGTTTAACCCAGTTTCTCAAATTCACTAGACTGAAGAATTATCTCAGAACACCAGTACCCTCCCCAGCAAGCCTGATAATATTCAGTTGGACTTAATGTTTCCTGGAAAACATGAGAAATCTGCTCTCAATATTTCAGAAAGCCAAATAAAAAAAGAGGATGATAAAAGTAGTATTCATCATCTGTGGAACAAAATGTACTAGTAAGAAATGAGTATCTCAAATAAGTGTGTGTCTATTGTCTAATCTAACACATCTACTAAAAGATACTTGAAATATTTTTAAAGTAAGTATGCTAAAAAACTTAATTTTTGTAAAACATAATCTAACTACTTAAATATTTTCATCACAAATTAGAATTCTTTAGAAAAGTAATCCCTCCTCCCTCATGCCTAGAATAGAGAATTTTTTTTACATTATATTGGCTTTCTAGGATCTGATTTCTACATACAGATACATGCCAGAAATCCAAATAAGTAATTTATAGAACTTTCAGCTAAAAATAAATACAACTTTAAGAAAAGGCACAATTCCCTATAAAATCAAAAAATACACTATATGAAGAGCTGGTATATTCTTTATCTATTATACAACCCAAAACTGAATGAGTTCAGCTATGTCTAAAAACTTAGATCAAGGCCCTCCCTGGTAGCACAGCGGGTTAAAGCACAGCACTGAGAATCTAAAGCCGCTTCCGCATGAGTCGATTCCTACCTGCTCCAGAGGTGACCACATGGCATAGCAGACCTTTCCTGACCCGCCCACTGCTCCCCTCAGCAATGTGCTTCGTTGATCTGTCTGTTCTGTACCCCACTCTGCCTCTGGTGAAGCCTCTCACTGCCCCTGAGCCTCTGGCCTACACCCAGTTCTGTATGCACAAATAAATAAATCTTAAAAAAAAAAAAAAAACTTAGATCAAGGTCATGAGTTTATGTTGTTTCAATAAAGGCAAAACACACAAAACACACCATAGTAATCTGATTTATCTGAAGTACTAAAGGGCAGGGGTAATCTGATATTTTTTTTTATTCCAGAGACAAAATACATGGAGCCATATAAAAATGGCATGATAAAAAGTTTCAAGAACTTACTGGAGAGAGGACCTTTAGAGCGAATGATGATTTTTTTTTTAAACACTAGTGGTAAAAAAAAAAAAAAAAGAGCTCACAACTCTGTCTCTGAATTTATGCTCCGGAAAGAAAAATCTAAAACTTCTACCATTTAAATCATAATTTCTCACATATAATTTGGCATCAGTTCTAGGGAATTTATCTTCTAAATATGATGATTAATTTTCAAACTCACATAAGAAAAACAATTTCACATAAATGACTTCTGATGCTTAAAACCAACATGCAACATTTAACATTCTCATTAGTATATGCATAATAAATTCACAATTGATTACTCCCACCCCAACATTAGTGAAAATTCTATGAAAGAAACATTTTTACATTTTTAAAATGTAAATAGTGTTGATTAACTTCCATAAATAATTGTCACAAAAATATCCTATTATTACCTGGGACAAGATTCAAAGATAATCTTCTAGGTGAAATTGCTCTGGGGTGCTGCTTACTAATTTCTTCATAAACTTGAAGCCTCTCTTCTAAAGTGCCTATTATCAGTAAATATGTATAAGATTTAAAGCATCAAAATTTTTACCTTATGATACAACACAAACAAAATTTTTTTTAATTATTAAAGCTGCTCTGAATTTTGGAAAGAACAACATTAAAAACTGTGGTGGTAAAATAATATCAGTCATCACTACTTTACTCCAATCTCCAGAGAAATGCAATTTTCATCACAATAGATTCTACATCTCAAATCTTATATTCTTTAGCGTGTGAAAAAGGAAACATTCCTTTATAACATGTCACATAAGCACACTAACCCAATGAAGTTTATATGTATCCCCCAAAAGTCTGTAATACCTATAAAGTAGGCTGAAAGTAGCAAGTTTATGAACCATGACTGTAAATGTTTTATATTTAAAAAGATGAACTAAATTTCTAAAGTAGCTATGACACTTAAAATCTTCATATGAGACTCTATTATAAGCCCACTGATGCAGATTATTTAAAGTAGCAATCATACTCTTAAATGACATAAAATATACTTTTAACAGGAAACTGTATCTTCCCTCCTAAGACCAACCTAATTTTCTACTATGAAATAATGGATCTGTATATAAACTATACATTATTCTGCAACAATTTACAAAATAGGATTAGTGTCTAATTCATTATGCTAAAACAATGCCATGAAGATACAGACTACATATATTATTTATATATGCAGTAAGACAATTTACAGAAGAGCTTTTAATATAAAGAAAACTTTTTAAAATTTTATTATAAACCTTTTACAAATTTTTAAGTGGATTTTAACTCAGACCAGAGAAGTATAATTATTTTAAGAAAAACCCTTGATGCTAGCAATTTACGTGTCTCCAAAAGCAAAGACAGTGTTCTAATCAAGTTTATTAACATTGCACTTTAAGAATTAATGCTGACTTTGTTTAGACTCCTTCCTTCCCCCAGTAATGTTTTGGAGCTCCAATGTGGTTGGATTCTAAAAACTAGGCTATGTTAAAATTAATTTTCACACATTGTTAATGATTTAAAGATTTCAAGAACTATGGAGGGCCATTATACTAAAATTTACATAGAAATTATTGCATATTTTTTAAAAAGCATTTGCCTAGGATACCTAATCTTAAAGAATGACAAATTGTAACCATAAAAAAAAAATCTCTCTACTATTCAAGATAACAAGCTTTATAAATGTAGTTAAACTAACATTAAAACAAAACAAGACCATTTCAATGCCCTATTTGAAGTCACAAGTTGGAGCTCCAGAACTTACCATGGGGGAGAAAAGGTCCTAAGAAACCTAAAAAAATAAAGTAATGTATTAATTTTATTATCAATACATTTTATAGTAAGTATGGATCCTGACAAACGGAACACATGACATTCACTTTAGTAAAACATTTCAATTTCTGTAGTATTAACTTTCAGTAATTGATAGTTCACAGAAAAACAAGTTTCTCACATTTCTAAACTTCAGAAATCTTTTTCACCATTTAAAAAGATTTAATAAAAATATAATAATTTGTGATATTAAAGTCTGAATGTAGAGAAAACCTGGATTACTTTATAATAATGATTAGGATAAAATAAACTTTATCAGCTCATAATATAGTACAGCTTATATTACAATAAATGAATATAGATAGCCACCTACTTACCATACTTTTTATTGTTTTAACTATACTTTTTTATTTAAATTCCTTTACTGGCACAGCATATACTTCAAATGTATTGATTAAGATCATAAACCGCAAAGTATACTAATTAATTCCTAAAAAATCTTAGCTGTGGATAGAACTGCTAAACAATCACTCAGCGACCTAGTAAACATAACAGTCTTACCATAATAAAAACCTCCTCAAAATCAGAAATTAGGCCTGGTCCCAAAAACATCATTTCAGTGTTGGGTCTTACTTTTTGATTATGAACTCATCTAGATAATAAACAGAGCTTTCAAGTCTGCTATGATACTTTTTAAATTTAAAAATTCCCTTTGAATACTGTCAAGCTAATTTCATAATGATTTCAGTCATCTATTTACCCATGAACAGTAATGATCTTAGGTTCTAACAACATTTAACTATAAAACCGTTAAGGAAAATGTGTAAGCAACTCTAGACTTCTTAAAAGGATCACTACATAATTTTGAAAAAGGATCACTACATAATTTTGAAGTTTAAAACTGAGAATATTTTTCTTTCCTCCCCATCCCCAACAGCATAATTGTTTATATTGACATTATGTACTATTATACCCTCACAAATTTTTCTAATCCACATATTACATTTGGAGGTTGAGAGTAAAAGACCTCTAATTCTTTAGAAATACTAAATAATCATGTCATTTCCCAGAAAAGGAAAATTCAGAATCTTCTCTCATCTTTCTAGTTAGTCTAAATTTGTAACATTTTAACAAGTCAAGGAAACTCAAATTATCTATACTCACCATTACCTTAATATAAGTAGCTTACTTCCTTTTCACCCTATTATTTACCTGTAATTTTTCTAAATGGAAAAATGAATGCTAATTCTGTTAATTCTGAAAATATTAATAGTAGTCCTCAAATATTTCAATTTTACATTTTACTATACTTCAATCACTACTTAAGAGAAAGTAGAGAAAAATCATTACATACTAAGTTGCAGAGCTTTTTCCAAGCCTTCATAATAACACCAATTTTCTGCATTCCGATCAATCAAGTTTTTGAATACTTCACTGGCTTCTTTTAATCGTCCCAATTTCAACAGCATTTCCCCTAAAATTAAGTTTAAAAGTAACATACATTTTAAGTATTAAATTATCTTTTTGATCACAGATATTTCCATCATCATTCTTAGTGTTAGAAATATTAATGAAAGAACACACTTTCCTTGGGGACATGTTGTATTTTCTATAACTAAACACAGACTAATTCACAGCTTGCCTTCAGAAATGAACCATCTTTTAAAATTCTATTATACTGATATTCATCTTTGGCTGCTGCCCACATTCCAAACATACATAGAGAATAGTTGTTATGCAAGAAAAATTTTTGCGCTGCACATTTTACATACCCTTTAGGTAACTAAAGACTCCTTACACAAACTGGCAAATTTTAATACCCCTTTCTAGTACCCCTTTTAATGTACTTTACTTAACATATATTAAATAAGTCTTCATTCAATTCTCTTAAGTTTTCTTTCTGGTCGCTAAACTTCGAGAAGCTTAATAACCCAGTAAGACAATAACACTAAACACCATTTCACAGCAAGAACCTACACAAACCATGTTCACACATGTATCACCACCAAAGCTTAATTCCTTTTACTAGGTCAAATAAAAGTAGGTTTTTTAAATGAGAAGTTAAACTTTTCAGATATATTAGAAGGGGTATTTAACTCAAGATAAAGGGAAAATTCTGAAAAAATAAAATGCTTAATTACCTATACCAAAGATTCCTGTTGCCCAAAGAATCTATTTCAAGCAACAGCCCTTTGAAATGTTTTCAGTCTTTTTAGTTTTTATCTTTTTAAGGAGAAAGTATACTATAGTAATGGTAGCATAATTATTCACTATCGCTTCATTATTAAATATTACTCAACCTCTCTCATAAGACTAATTAGCTTAGTAATTACCAATTTCACACTTTCTAGCTTTGTGGCCTTAAAAAAACTGAAAACTTCAGAAGTTCATTTTCTTACCTATAAAATGTCAACCACCTCAGTCCAATTCTGTGATAATCAAATGAAATATACTTAAAAGTAGCAAGCACAGTATTTGGTACAGATGAGTACACAAACATGGCTACTTTAAACTATAAACATACCTAATTACTCCACAGTTTCTGATTAGCCCAATTTTTACCCTCCTTAATCTAGATTTGGTAGACAACAGCATATTTTTCAATTCCAAAAACCAGTTACCTGCAGCTTCCAAGAGACGAAAGTAACTACTAGAGAAATATACAAGTTGATATATTTATATATCATAAGGAAATTGAAAATCTTTTTTTTGAGATTTTTTTTCTTTTTTAAGATTTATTTATTTGTGCATACAGAACTGGGGTACAGGCCAGAGGCTCAGGGGCGGCGAGAGGCTTCACCAGAGACAGAGTGGGGAACAGAACAGGCATATCCACGAAGTACACTGCTGAGGGGAGCAGCTGGCGGGTCAGGAGAGGTCTGCCCGCCATGTGGTCACCTCCGGGGCAGGCGGGAATCGAACTCATGCGAAAGCGGCTTTAGATTCTCAGTGCTGTGCTTTAACCAGCTGCGCCACCAGGGAGGGCCAGAAAATCTCTTTTTAAAGATTTTTTAAATTATCTTAATATACTAATGACTACAAAACCATAAATATAAAAGGTCTCTAGGCCTGCAAATTTCACTAAAAGTATTTAAATACCATAACCTCTATCAGCAATAAAGAACATTGATTTTACTCAAAGTGATGACCCCCAAATTATCCTCATTAATCAATATATGAATGAGTATAACCTACAGAATTCACAAGTTATAAGTAGTATTTTTTTAAGTAGGATTGCTGACTATATATCCACTTTTTATCATTGCATTTCCTATTGATGCTATACTATAAGACAGAGAAAGAAAAACCCAAAAGCTAAAATTTAATCAGAAAATATCATGAGAACATAAGAATAACTTTTTCTTTCAGCCATCAATTACAAATAAAGAAACTGTATCTTTGATATTAACCCCTTATCAGCAACATTCTATGAATTTTTTCTCCCATACAATAGGGTGCCTTTTTAATCATCTTATATTTTTCTTTCACTGTATAAAAACTTTGTAATACACAATTCAAAAATAAAAAGCGGGTCCTTCCTGGTGGCACAGAGGGTTAAAGTGCAGCACTGGAAACGAGACACAGCTGCTTCAGTACCAGTTTGATTCCTGGCCTCAGAGGTAACCCACAAGGTGCAGCAAACTCTCCTGTCTCACCTGCTGCTCTCCTCAGCAGCACTTTGCCTGTTTTGCTCCCCACTCTGTCTCTGGTGAATCCTATCACCACCCCTGCACCTCTGGCCTGTACCTCAGTTCTGTATGCATAAATAAATTCATCTTTTAGAAAACATAAAATAACAAGCAAACAGCACAATTAATAAATGGGCAGCACACATACACAATTCACTGAACAGGATATCCAGAAAGCCAACAGATGCAATAAAAGTTCGTGTATCATTACTTCCAGTAAGAGAGATGTGGGTTAAAACTATAGTTAAGATAACCATCCAATACACCCTGAAAATATTTAAAAAACTAGTGGACATCAGTAAACAATGAGGGCTCTGAAACTGAGATGGAGAGAAAGGAATGACACAAGGGGACATAAGGGTAGGAAAAGTAATTTAAAAAATCATAAAGAGGTATTTAGAAATTACCACCTCAAATGCAAGGTGACTTTGAGAAAGTCCTTAATCTTACCCCAGTTTCCTCAACTATAAATATGGGGATAGGGCTTCCCAGGTGGCCTAGTGGTTAAGTCTCAGCACTATCACTACTATTGCCTGAATTCCATCCCCAGTCAGGGAGCTGACCCACATATGATGCAGTCCAGACCTCTCCTGTCTCGCCCATAGCTCCCCTTAGCAGCGTGACTCCAAAAATCCACCCATTCTGCTCCCTACTCTTCTTTCTCTGATTTCTCCCACCCCTGGTACCTTTAACCTGCACCCCAGTTCTTCTATGCCCAAAAAGGGGGGGGGGGTTAATAGTACCCAATACCCAAGTGAAAATGTTAAACTAAAATTTACATGAAATGAAGCATTTATGTAAGTATTCCATTCTCTAATAAAACACAAGAGGAAATATTAGGTATTATTTTTGATAAGCTTGAGAGGTCCTGTAACTTTATGAAATTTTATCATTTTAGTTAAACCTTACATTTGTTGTACTGCTACAGGAATGGATAATTGATAAGGAAAGCGTTGTTTAAAGATGTACCTGATTCTCTGCTAAAATACATTTTTAACAAATGATTTATCCGGATCCTATTCAGAATTATCCTATAATAAATCTAGCCTTCATGATGATCGCAGTGTCATCATTAACTATAGTCATTGTATTTTTCTGTATATGAAGGAGGCAAGAGAATATGAAGGCAGGAGAACATACTGCTTAATAAGAACATGAAATATGGATTCAAATTAAGCACCATTCAACTTTCTGAGCTGTGTAACTTTGAGCAAGTCCCTCTGTTCCTCAGCTACATCTCTAAATGTATAACAATTGATCAGAGAGCAGTTATAAAGAGTAAATTATTTGATAATGATTTTACTGTAATACTGTCTGATATATATATAGAAAGTCTTCTAAAGTGTTAGGAGAGAATATATAGGTTTTTGTCTTTTTCTTTGTGGTCATTAAAAAATAAAGCAGCTGGCCCTCCCTGGTGGCACAGCGGGTTAAAGCACAGCACTGAGAAGCTAAAGCCACTTTCACATGAGTTCGATTCCCGCCTGCCCCTGAGGTGTCCACATGGCGTGGCAGACCTCTCCTGACCCGCCCGCTGCTCCCCTCAGCAGTGTACTTCGTCGATCTGCCTGTTCTGCTCCCCACTCTGGTGAAGCCTCTCGCTGCCCCTGAGCCTCTGGCTTGTACCCCAGTTCTGTATGCACAAATAAATAAATCTTTAAAAATAAATAAATAAATAAAGCTGTTGAACTTACCTTTGATTTCTTCCACCAAAAGTTTATCACATATTTGTTTCTCATATGTTTCTATATGCTCCAAAGATTCCTGAAACAGATCTGCCTCCCTCATCACTTGATTCTGGTACAATATCAGTTCACTATATTCATAGTCTATTTTATTGGGTGGGACCTGAAAAAAAAATTATCTTACTTGTATAAGTACTTTAAGTTCCTGCAGACCCTTAATTTAACTGTTTTCTCAAGAAAAGCAATTTTTTAAAAAGTAAATCACAGAAACAGAAGAGTAATTAACAACAAAGAAGACTAGTAAATTCTTTAAAACCAATGAAGAGATGGGATGTCCGCAAAATGAAGAGGTCAGAAAAGCATATACAAGGCCTTCTTACTGGTAAAAGGGGTTAAGTTCCAGCACTATGAAGTTAGGAGCATGAGTTTGATCCCCGGCCAGGGAGCAAACAAACATGGAGCAGCAGACTCTCCTGTAATGCCCACTGTTCCCCTCAGCAGTGTATTTCAGTAGATCCACCTGTCCTGCTCCCCACTCTATCACTGGTGAATCCTCTCACCCTCACACCTCTGATATGTACCCCCAGTTCTTATATGCATAAATAATAAATAAATCTTAAAAGAAGATATGCTAAAATTAAAATCATATACCCCCACAAAAAAGTATATTGTTAAAACCCTAAAGGAGTTCCAAATATATATATATATATATATTAGAACTAATAACAGATTTTTTTTTAGCAAGGTGACAAAATACAAAATTAATGCATGAAAATCAGTTACACCTGAATACATCAGAAATAAACAACCTGAAAATAAAATTGTCTCAAGAAGAACAAAATATATAGGAACAAATCTAAGAAACAAAACTTATGTATTTAGAACTAAAACAAGCTAGGAGAAATTAAAAATCTAAACAAGTGGGTGGACAATGCATTCCAGGTTCAAGGATCAGAATATTCAATATTATATTGATGGCAATACTGTAGCTATAGCTACCGTAATCAGTGTAGTAACAGATGGGATTACAACAGACATATAGATCAACAGAACATAACACAAGGTCTAGAAATAATCACTGTATTCTGGTCAATTGATTTTCAACAAAGGTGTCATGGCAATTTTATGATTAAAAAAACTGGACTTCATCAAAATTATAACCTTTTTCCTCTTTAAAAGACACCATTAATGTCATGAAAATACAAGTTACAGACTGGGAGAAAATGATGGCCTGATAATCAAGTTAAACTGAGACTATAAAAGAAACTCTTACACAATTCAGATATAAGACAAATAACCCAATACAAAAATGAGCACAAAACACGCATAGGCATTTTTCATTACATGAGAAATATAAATGGCTAGTACAAACATGATAAAATGTTCAGTATCACAGTCACTAGGAAATGCAGATACCAGTACAAGATTATCCTCAAAAAATGAATAGGTGTGAGAGATGGGTGAAGGTTGAAATCCTCATCTGTTGCTGATGGGAATGTAAATCATTCACCACTTAGAAAAATTAGGCAATTTATTGAAAAGGTAAATATATAGTTACCATACAACCAAATAATTTCATTTTTAGATCTCTAACCAAGAAAGAAATAAAAACATGTCCACACAAAAACTAACTGACATACTGGATCATGGTGAGGGCACATGGTGATTTGGTGATGGGAACCCCAAGGGGATGGCAATTGAGATGGAAAAATGCACAAAAATACGTAAAAATAAATTATTATAAAATAAAAAAAAATTATTTTAAAAACTAATTGACAAATTTAATAGCAGCATTATACATAGTTCTGAAACTAAAAATGATCCAAATGCCTTATCAATTGATGAATAAACAAAGTATACAATGAAATATTATTCAGCATTAAAACAAATGATCTAATATATGCTTTAATATGGCTGAATCTCAAAAACATGCTAATAAAAATCTGATTGCATTTATTTGAAATTTCAAAAAAAGACAAATTTAGAGACAAAAAGCAGATTAGCAGCTCCGTAGGTCTATGGATAAGAATGAAATTTTAATGCAAATGGGAGTAAGAACATTTTTGGGTGATGAAACATCCTAAACTTGGATTAGGATTAAGGTTATATGACAAATTTACTGGAAGGGAAAAAAAAAACAGACAAGATTTCAGGGAACAACTGGGAGATGACCAGCAAACAAAAGAGATGAAATAACAGAAGCTCAAATTTAGAGTAGCTATAAAAAGAAAATCATTATGGAGAGTGCCAATCTGCCCTGTAAAAGCCCCCAGAAAGAAGGTAAAAATCCTGACATGACAAATATAGAAGGAATAGAATGAGACAAAAGACTCAAGATTAAGGGATTAATTGAAGGTAGACTAGCAGTCCATTTCATCAACTCTGTAATCAAACCTACATCCAAAATAACTGTAGTCATTTAAGAGTTAAGTGCTCTGCTTCAAAGTAGACAGTGCCAGAAAAGAGTACTAAGGGAGGAAAAAAGGTATCTGCACTACTGCAATATACACAACAGTCAACATAAGGAAAAAATCAGTGTCCATTGACAGCTGAAGATGTGGGGTGTGTATGAGTGTGCAAACTACTGATATTTTCATGTTTCTACATATTCCAAAAACTCCTAAAACAGGTCTTCCTCTCTCATGGTTTGATTTGGTAGAATATCAGCATATGTATGTATATAAACATACAAATATGACAAATATGTACATATACATAAATATATTGGGTTGTCAGAAAAAGCATGATGTATTCTTTCTGTATTTCAAACAAAAACATATCATGACTTTTCTGACAACCCAATACATAACACACAGTGAAATAATATCCAGCCATAAGAAAGAGCATTGATGGGCCCTGAGGGCACTGTTTTAAGTGAGATAAAATAGAGAAAGAAGCTGTATGACAGCACTTATATCTAAAAAAGGGCAGAATCAAGACACAGCAGAACAGTACCCTAAGGGAACTACAAGGACACAAAATAACAATTCATAACTTTTATGAAATTGTATATAATGCAAGTATCACTAGAAATGATAGATAGCAATTTCAGAATGGGGTTACCTCTAATAGGGAGGTACCTAGGAGGACTTTAGCTATTTCAGTTACATTTTATATTTTTAAAAAATAAAATATGGGGCCCTCCCTGGTGGCACAGTGCATTAAGGCACAGCACTGAGACGCTAAAGCTACTTCCCACACCTCCGCCTGCCCCGGAGGTGATCCACATGGCACGGCAGACCTCTCCTGGCCCATCTGCTGTCCCCTCAGCAGTGAGCGTACTTCATCATTCGGCCTATTCTACTCCCTGCTCTGTCTCTGGTGAATCCTCTCACCGCCCCGGTACCTCTAGCCTGTACCCCAGTTCTGTCTGAATAAATTAAAACTAAATAAATAAATAAATAAAATATGGAAGGCCTCCCTGGTGGCTAAGGTACTAAGCACCATCCTGCTATCAGCAGTCACTATGGCATGCCATTTAATCCCCAGGCAGGGAGCTAACCCTTACTGCAGTAGACTCTTCTGTTTCACCCACTGCTCCCCTCAACAGTGTATTTCAGTCAATCGTCTGTTCTGCTCCCCACTCTTTATCTGGTGAATCTTCTCACCCCTCCCTGTTGCCCCCCAATCTCTAGCTTACACTCCAGCTCTTGTATGCACAAATAAATAAACCTTTAAAAAATTAAATAGATAAAAATAAAACCTGGCTCAATTATGAAAAAATGCTAATCTACTTCATTTCTCTTATGATACAATCTATTTTTTCTATTTTTGTATTTACAAGCATATTAAGGTTATTTAGTAAAATATAGCTACTGTTCTACATATATAAAGCAATATGTTAGAAAAAATTCCATAGTCAAAAAATATTTTTATGTATTCTTTATTAATTGGAATATTGTTGAAGTTATACTGCACAAATTTATTTTATTTTGTATTAAGAATTCTGTTTTACGGTAGGGGGCACTGGACTATGCTGATGGCACATGGGTGATTTAGTGATGGGAAGCCCAAGGGGATTGCAACTGAGATGGAAAAATGCACAAAATGATGTAAAAATAAACTATTATTTAAAAAAGAAGAAGAAAAAAAAGACTTCTGTTTTAACTTTTCCAACTAGTTCAAATACTTTCCAAGTATCCACAGGTCTTGATTTTAAGTCATGTTTAGAGATGGGAACAATATTACTCAACTATTTTAGTTTGTGACAGTAGGAGAAAATATTAACATGAAGTACTTACTTGCTGGGTTTGTCTGAATTCTTCCAAGAGTTTTAGTGCCATATCATAATCTTTCAACAGATGGTATGCAATAGCATATCCAATCCAGGAAGCCCTCTGTGTTGGACGCAACTGAAGAAGCTGATACCTTGTCTCCTTAAAAAAGAAAAAAAAGTAACTTTTTAATTTTTTTAACTTTAGCTTTCTCTAAAATATTTAGATTTCATTATTCTTAATAAAACAATTTAATGAACAAGTATCAGCTACAGAAAAGAATGGACATTCTTTTTATGTTTCTTATCTAAATTACTTTAAGTTCTAGAATGCCTCATTATGCTCATGTAAGACTGTTGCTGAAAAACTGTCTTTGGGGTCTATGCTTTTGGACTGCCTAAAAAAATTACCCTTATTTAACATGAATATCTTTTGGTAACTAAGTATCTTAGAAAAGATAGCTAAGATAGCTTTTTATTAAACTAAAATTCACTGTTTATACAATTATTACAAGAAATACAGTGTATTTACTTTGTGAAAGCTGGCCACAAGACAAGATGGACACAGCCAGAGGAAACAAACATCTAACTAGAATTTTCTAGCAGAAGTACCACTGGTGCCATTCTAAATTCAACATCTTAGACACATTTGGGAAAATAACACCAGAAAGTTCACTATGGCTACCTCATAAGAATTAAGAAATCTTCACTAGCCGAGAAATGCAATCTCCTAACATCCACCCCATTTATTCATAGTATAAATCTGCCAAGTGCAACTACCTGGTTAAAGAGGGTCTCACAAAGAACACTAGCTACAATCGAATCTTAAAAATTAAGCATTTGGCGGCCCTCCCTGGTGGCGCAGCGGGTTAAAGCACAGCACTGAGAATCTTCCGCATGAGTTCGATTTCCGCCTGCCCCGGAGGTGACCACATGATGTGGCAGACCTCTCCTGACCCGCCTGCCCGCTGCTCCCGTCAGCAATGTACTTCGATCTGCTTGTTTTGTTCCCCACTCTGTCTCTGGTGAAGCCTCTCACCGCCTCTGAGCCTCTGGCCTGCACCCCAGCTCTGTATGCACAAATAAATAAATCTTTAAAAAAAAAAAATGAAGCATTTGGTATTAACGACTGTATTGTTGAAATGGGGAGCCAAGTAAATCCATCTATACTATATGCCACAAGGAATAATGTGATCAGATCTTTTAGGGGAAAAATGGTATCTTTAACAAATCAACTTAACAGTATGAATCCTTCACCCTCACATGTAAGTATATGGATCTCTTTAGGCTTAGGACACTAAGCTATGTCACTCTCATGCCATATTTTCACTGTTGCTTCTATTCTCTCTACCCAATCCAGCTATTGTGGTAAATGCAACCCTGTAGATCACCTTATCTTCCATCTTGTTATCCCTCCCACCCTGATTCAAGGCCCCAATCCCACACCAAACCCTTAATCTTACTGCCACCCAGAAACCACAAATTAAGCACCTTACCCTCTGGCCATCGTCCTATATTAAGTTTCTTGGGTCCTTCATTTCTAATCACCTATTCTCTTCTTTATCTTCATTTATTTCACTATCTGTTTTAACTATCTTCTTGCCACTATTCTTATTTTCTTTACCTATTCCTAAAGAAAATCAACTTTAACTCCTCTACTACGTCAGCTAAGTACTGCTGAAGTAACGACATAATGTACTATAAAAAGGTGTCATTTTGAAGTTTAGAACCCCTGAAGTTTCTGAAAAAATCTAAGTATAAAAGGTATAAGAACACAACAATTAAATGGCAAAAGTAAAATGTAAATATTTGTTTAAAGGAAACTGTAAAGAATTGGTGGCTTCTTTAATATAAGGAGAGAATCCCATTTGGATATACTGGATATTAAGAGGATACTAAGAGGTGATACCCAGAAGGGTTGAAGAGGTTTGTACAACAGGAAGACTGATTCATGGCAATCTTTCTATTACCTTATATTTACTAACCTATAATAAAGAAACTTAGCAATACATTTAGATTATAAAATTGTAAAAGCCTTATTTACCAAATTTGTAAATATCAATGCCAGAGGATCTAGAATACTTGTACATGGGAGATAATCTAGTTTGTTATTTTTTTTTAAAGCATTAAATGAAAGCAATTGTCCTTTCCTGACAAATACGCAGTTCCACAACTATCAATGGAGGGAAGATCCCAAGTGACTTTGCCCTTCAACTACAGACTATAACGAACAATCCAATCACATGATAGTGGCTGATGTTCATCTCATTCAGAATTCGCATGCTCTTTTTATATCTATTGTAAAAATACATTCATACAGACTTAACGTACTTACTCGGTAACCTTCAAGGTCTCTCATTTGGATCTGCAACAGAGAGAGATCCCTCAAAATTTGCAAATTATCTTTATCTAATTTGAGGGCATTTCGATAACATTTAATAGCTTCATCGTATTTTTTATCAGAACGCTGCAAGAGTCCATATACATGCCAACCTATTAAGTTAAGGAAATAAGACATTCACAGATGCTAGAATATACTGTGCTGCATATCTAATATAAAGTTTACCTTAACATATTTTGTCTAAGATTTACTTCAAAATGATCTGGAGTCAAAGACAATACAATAGTGAGGGGATAGAATAAAATCAGACCAGATCAATATTGTTAAATTAATACTGTTAAATAAATACTGTTAAATTGTTAGTTGTTATGCTAAATGCACATCCAGAAGTTCCTATTCTAGTCTTTCTACTTGTGTACATGCTTGAAAAATTCTTCCTATTTTCAAGCCCCAACCCCCTCACTTTCCTACCCCAGTACCTCAACATTCACTTACTCTTCATCACTATGTATAAAAACAGAAAATAAACAAAGACTGCAAGTACCTTTTAAATCAAGTTTATATTAAATCAATTCTAAAAGAACACATCCATTAATTCGCCAGTGATAGTAAAGACCACAAAAAATAAGTATTTATTATAAATTAATGTCTTGGACTATTTTGGAGCTAAAAGAACTATCATACTTATATGCCCTCTTCACTCTAGGTAAGTAATGAGATAAAGAAATAAGAAGTATTCTGAGAGAACTCTAAGCTAAATGTTTCTGCTCAGATTTGATATTTAATACTGGCCAGTTAGATGATTGTAAAAGAGTAAGACATAAAGGTAATGTGTGAAAAGAGGCAAAACAGAAGCAAAAATAAATTTCAAGTTTTTAATGAAGTAACAGCAATGTCCCTATGTAAGAGAAACCAAGGTGAGGAATCAATATATCTAATACTATATAAAACATTTTAAGTCAAGATTCTTCTGAATTTTTCTTCTAAAATTTCTAAAACAAAGTTTAAGGAACACACATTACTATACAGGTAAATAATCATCTATAATGATATAAAAGTATCACTCAGTTTACGAATATGTAAGAAAAATGGACTTCACATTATTTATTAGTTACTTTTTCGTCATACTGAGCACAACTGAAAGATATACATACTATATGTGGATTAAATGCTTCATAACAAGCAAGAGTAAGAAACAGAATAAACTTTATACTACACAATGTTGACAATTACTCTTTTCTATGTAGGTTTGAAATTTTTCATACTGTTAGCTTTTAATTTGAATTCGAAAAACTAATAAATGAAAAATACATAAGTAAAATCAAACTATTCAACTACTGCAAAAAGGATACAGACATGACTCTTGACATCATTACGAAGTCCTTTACGAACAAATTCATATGCTTCTTCTTTTTTTCCTAAACAGTTCAATGTTAATCCTTTCATAGCCAAAGTCTCTGAAAAATATTTTAACAACTATTTACACGTATAAGATACAAATTATTCTCTTGCACTATTTTAATATATGAAATCTGCCAATGCTTATATGATTTTTTGAAATTATATAGTTAGAACATCTCTCCAAATACAAAACATAAAACCACATTCAAGTATTTGCACAGAGTCTAGCCTAAGTCCTTTTCTCAAATTCCTTAGGCTGGGACTGAGTTGCTGCAAAAATATAAAGGCAGGCACCCAAATTCTGTAGAGTTAAATCTACTACAGTAGTTCCATAACTTTCACCTGATACCAGTCTAATAAAACCATCATCTGCTTTGCACACCATAAAAACAATTTAACAAAGTTGAACACAACTTAAAAATCAACTTATTCATTACAAGTTTCCTAGTAACCAAAGTAAAACATTCCTATCTGGCATCATTTGGCGGGTTATTCTGGTGGTCTGAGAATACTATTACTATTAATTTATTTTAGAAAAGGTCCCCACAGGTCTATGGTGATGACACATGGGTGATTTGGTGATGGGTAGCCCATGGGGATTACAACTGAGATGAAAAAATACACAAAATGAGGTAAAAACAAACTATTACATTAATTTTAAAAATATGATAGTTAAAAAAAAGTCTTTAGAGTTCCCAAATCCAAAAAAAAATAACCTAACAAGTCACACCAAATAAAAACAACATTCTGCTTCAGATAGGGGAGGAAACTAAAACAGATTTCATTTTTGTCAGCAAATTTATTCAAACTAATTCAATTTAGGTTAATTAATATCAGTTTGTATCTTAAGAGTACAGCACTCCACTACTGGGATGGCAGCAGTAGAACATGTTTAATGAAAAATAACTTCAAATGAAATAATCATTTGAGTAATCTACAAGGAGAGGATGAGCATAGAATAATGGTTTCCAAACTGCTCTCTGCACATTCTGGTTTTCAAAATAAGGTATCTACTGGTCCGGCTCCTAACATCTTGACTGTCTTTACATTATGAACTTATCACAAGCTCCCATTTGGATAGGGATTCTATGGCATTAATTTCTAAAATTCTGTACGATGAAGACTTCTTTCATTTTCTTTAAGGAACGCTTTAAATGGACCCTCTCTGGTGACACAATGGGTAGGACACAGCACTACAAGCCAGCCACAGCTGCTTCAGTGTGAGCTCTATCCCCAGCCCAGGAGGTGATCCACATGGCGCAGCAGAATTCTCCTGTCTCGCTCACTGCTCCCCTCAGCAGTGTACCTCATCAATATGCCTGCTCTGCTCCCCACTGTCTCTGGTGAACCTTCTCACTGCCCCTGCACCTCTGGCCTATACTCTAGTTCTGTTTGAATAAATGAATCTTTAAAAAAAAAAAAAAAAAAAAAGAACGCTTTAAATGTTATTACAAAGCAGAATAGAGCCTCTTTTCCTAATAGAATGGTCTCAAAAATTACCCAAGTCAAACATTCAGAGACCCCAATTATCTCTGCCCATCTACAGGGCCATAATATGAATATCTAACCTAATCTATCCTGTCAACAAATATTGGTCACCAGTGGAAAAAAGGATGAGATAAGCAAATAGTCATTTAATGACACCAGTGCTAGAAAACAGTTCAAAAAAATAATCTAATGGAAATCAACAGTATCAGATTTATACAGATGAGCAGATATATAAAAGTGGACATCTACCATGGAATAAAGCATATTTAATTATATCTTCATATTCCTTATGTATTGAAAATACTGTCCTTATTTTTTACATAGAATGCCAAAGGGTAAATGTGAGTTCTACTCAAAGTAACAGATGAATTCAGGTCTCTAAAAATACTGGTATAAAACTCATCCAATTATTTTCCTATAGATGAATCAACCAATTCTCACCTAAAGTTCTATGTATACCTAGGCATAATAAAAGTAACATAAGTTTAGGACCTATAAAGCATAAGTAAAAACGCTGAACATTTATAATAGAGAACTACAAGGTCAAAGAATCTAGATAATATTCTTTCATTGTTAGCAATCCTATATGTCAAGTTTTAGAATTAGATTTCCCATAGCAAACTCTCACACATGAAACAATACCTCCGTGTTCAGTAAATTTGGGGTTTGAAAGAATCATCTTGCAAAACTTGAGGCCATTTTTGTATTGCTTCTGTTCATAACATTTCTGTGAAGAAAAAAAAAATTAGTATATTTTCTAAACATATATGGGGCACTTTTTGGTGGATACGATAAATACTAAGTTCAAAGTTCAAAATTAGATCTAAAACCTATGTGATGCTTCACGGAGACTGAAATGCATACTACCAGAAAACACTGGATTAAAGAAATCAAAGAAGAAATTAAAAAATACTTTGAGTTGAGTGACAATGAGGACACCACTTTCCAGATGTATGGGATGCTGCAAAAGCAGTAATAAGTAGAAAGTAGATAGCAATACAAGCTCACATCAAGAAACAAAAAAGAGCTCAAAAGAAACATAATCTCTCATCTCAAAGAATTAGAAAAACAACAACAACAAAAAAAAACCCAAACGCAGAAGAAAGTAAATAATAAAAAAATCAAAGCAGAAATAACAAAAAAGCTAAAAAAAAAATCCAAAAGATCAATGAAAAGCTGGTTCTTAAAACAAAATAAATAAATGAAACAGATGAACCTCTAGCCAGGCTCACAAAGAAAAAAAATAGAAGAAAACGCAAATAAACTGGATCATAAAATGTGGGTGCAGTGTACAATCTCCTTTCAAGTTAGACAACAGCAGGACCTCTGGTCATCCTGGGGCAATACTGATATGCTCTGTGCCTAGGGACTAATCGTGGAATAAGATTAGAGCCATGGGTGGGAGTTAGGTATATCGTAACCCTCTGTAAAGCCCAAAATCTAGTGTTCAGTTTTGATCCATTCTTCTCTGTCAATAAAAAGTCCAGGATCTTGCTCTTGAGCAGCATCCTGTAACAAGCAGCAATCTGCATCCTTCATCCTGCTCCAATATTCCTGATTTTTTTTTTATCTCAGTGGCATTGAACAAGAGGATAAATTACAATAGACTCAGTTAAAATCAAAAGAATAATCAGAGATTACTGTGAGCATTTATATGCAAACAAGTTCAACAATTTAAAAGAAATAGACAAATTTCTAGAACAATATAAGCATCTTTGGGTGATTATATGTATTACATATATGCTAGACAAAGAAGAAACAGAACACCTAAACAGACCAACTACAAGCAGTGAAATTGAAACAGTAAATAAAAAACACTCCCCAAAAACAAAAGCCCAGGACCAGATGGCTTTACAAATGAATTCTATCAAATGTTCAGAAAAGTATTAGTACCTATCCTACACACTTTCAAAAAAAATGAGAAAGAAGGAATACTACCAAATACATCTAGGAAGCCAACATTACACTAATACCAAAAACAAACAAAGACAACACACAAAAAGAAAACTACAGGCCAATCTCCCTAATAAACACTGATGAAAAAATCCTTGCCAACAGAATCCAACAATGCATCAAAAGGATAATTCACCACAATCAAGTGGGACTTATCCCGGGGCACAAAGATGGTTCAACATCCAAAAATCAATTAAAGTCATCCAACACATCAACAAAAAGAAAAATAAGTTTGGCATCAATAAATACTAAGAAAAAATTCAACAAAGTTCAATGTCCATTTATGATCAAGATCCTTGAAATTCTCCAGATAGAAGGAACATACCTCAACATGATAAAAGCCATATACAACAAACCCACAGCCAACATTATCTTCAATGGTGAAAAGCTGAAAGCCTTTCCTTTAAGATCATGAACAAGTCAAGAATGTCCACTACGTTTCAGTGTAATACTGGATGTCTTACCCAGAGCAGTAAGACAAGGAAGACATACAAGGAACCCAAACAGGGAAAAAAGATGTAAAACTATCACTATGTGCAGATGATATGATAATATACATAGAGAACCCTGAAAACTGTACAGAAAAACTAATCAAAACAATCAATTGGCTTAGTAAAGTAACAGGATATAAAATCAACACAGAAAAATCAGTAGCCTTCCTATATAAAATAATCTGAAGAAGAAATCAAGAAAACTACCCCTTTTAAAACTGAAGCAAAAAAAAAAAAAATCA